CCAAAGCAGAGTGTGGATTCATGATGGACAAAATGGGTCAACGCAAATATAACTTACAAGAGTACAGCTTACAGGAAAGATTGGAGCATGGAAAGACAGAATGGGGACGAGGGGGTCGAAATAAATCTTGTTGTGATTTTACATATGTGGTCAGATAACATCATGGATAGGAGATCTGAGGAACTAAAGAAAGAATACATGGAGCCAGTGCCTATATTATCTGGGAGTGTCGAAAGAATGAACAGAATAATTAGCTTCAACGTCTGGTTCGGAAAAGTGTGTGTGCAGGAGGGAATTGAGTTTGTAGCTGGATGCCTGGGAAACTTTTTCAAGCAGACAACATAGAAAGGATGGTTTACACTTAACTAAATGGGAAGCGAAACTGCTGCACAAAGCAGCAATTGTGTTCTATTTAAGAAGGGGAGGGGGAATGCCTATTTAAAAGAAAACACAGACCGGTTGATCATCAGGACGATATGAGAAAGGCTAAATCGTTTAGAGACCAAAAATTAGGGGAAATACTTAAATCAAGAGTGCATGGATCTTAGAAAGCAACAAACTGCTACGAGGAAGATTAAGGGGCAAAGAGCAAAATTAGGTGCATATACATAAATGCTAGCAACATTTAAAAAAATAGTGGAAGTAGAGGCACTGGAGATATGGTAGGAATCAGAAACATGACTATGCCAGGTCAACCGATATAGAACTTACAAGGTTACAGCTTAAAGGAAGGATTGGAACAATAGGAAACATGAAGCGATTTCCAAATATAAAAGGGACACCTGGGAGGTTAAGGTAGTTGAGCGCCTTAGGACATCCTCGACATGAAAGGCGCAATATAAATACAATTTGTTGTTGTTGAGCAAACATCGCAGGAGCAATTATGGTATGAAATCCTCTGGTTTGATGTGCTCAACGAGAACAATTCTAGACTGATATTTGGGATATTTTACACTTTAGACTAATTTTATTGGAGGGCAAATCCAACACTACCAAACAATGAACTAGGCTATGCATTTGCATGCACACATTTACTAGTGTACCTATATATCCACTATTCCCTGGAGTAGTTTCCTTTAAAGCTTTGGAGAATTCGTCCCACGAACCATTGGCACATTCATCCCGGATTCTCTCTCTGGTCAGGGAACCATTCTTAAAACTAGAGACAAGACAATAAATATGGAACGACAACAAGCACATTTCATCCTAATAGTTTAAATTCAAATCAATTAATCTGTATATTAAAATGAATTCAATCTGGCTTCCTGATAAAACTTTTCATAAGATCCTACGACTTATTAAATCCTGATGTTGATGGTCGTAAAATACATTTGTCAAAATTACCTAAGGGAAAAGCAAGTTCATGAGAGAAACGTCATGCCCAGAGAAAGCAAAATAGCAGGAAAGATACTTGAGCACATATTTATAAAATACTTTAGTAAATGCTTTTACTCATGTTGAATATTGATGGTGGCAATAATAATTCAAATAATAAACCTGACATTATATGACTTCACACTGGGAAGAAACGATATACAATAAAACTTGCATAGGTCTTATTTATTATCAAATAACAATACACAGCACTCCGTATAATTGCATGGGGTCAGACCCGGACAGATGCCATGCAAGTATATGGAGTATGCAATTAACCAAAGTTTAGGAGTGGCCCCACCTTCCCAATGAAGTTTTCAAACATTTGAGTTAGGGCTATATTTAATTGTTTTCAGCCTCTTTCCAATTCTATTCAGAAACTATCCTTTACCATACAAGTGCCATGTAAGATTCGCAGTCAACAGGATTACAGAAGATATGTCCATCGACAGCAGGCTTTGGATCCTTAACTGAGAAGAAGACAGTGTCGCTCGTCCCAAGACTAACCTACAAAATCAAAGGAATAGGGTCTTACAAAACACTGGTGAATTTGATGTAAAAGTGGGTTATTATATGTACCGTCTTAATAGAATCAGAGAAATATACATCTGATTGCATTAACCTGACAATACATTTTTTTAAAAAAAACACTTTGGTAAACAATGGGCCAAATAGCCTCCTTCTGTGCTGTATAATTCTATGAAATGCTTTTACTCATGTTAAATGTTAATGGTTGAAATAATTATAATAATCCAAATAATATACCTTACATTATAGTGCCTTTCACGCTGGGAGGAAAGGATATACAATAAAACTTGCATAAGTCTTCTTTATAAATCGTATAACCGCCTGAACCCCATTAAGTTTCCTATTAAATCCACTTAGATTTCTTTGTATCACTTGTATCAATCATCTCCTAACTCGTAATCCCACTGTCCTACCCTCCATTACTCCCGCACTTACCAGCTGCTTTGAATCGCATAAAAATAACATCCTGACCTGTCGATGCATCATGTACCAGCAGCTACATTGAATCGTGGAAACCATAGGCTTCATCCGTTGACGCACAAGCAGAACTTCATTTCCCACGATTCAATGTGATTCCAACGCTTGCCGGTAAGCAAGATTTCTCGTAAGTCACATTAAATACGGTTGTTTTTCTGACTGGAGGGAAATGTGCAGGGTGTCCCCCAGGGGTCAATATTGGGACCACTGCTGTCTGTGGTCTATATAAATGACCTGGACTTGGGTATAAGGAGTACAATTTCCAAGTATGCAGATGATACTAACCTGGAAAAGTAGTAAACAATGAGGAGGATAGTAGTAGACTCAAGGGGACATAGACAGACTGGTAAAATGGGCAGACACGTGGCAGATGAAATTTAATGTGGAGAAATGCAAAGTCATGCATTTTGGGAGGAGGAATAAGGAGAGGCAATATAAGCTGATGGTACAATCTTAAAGAGGGTGAAGGAACAGAGAGACCTGGGGGTTCATATAAGTAAATCTTTGAAGGTGGCAGGACAGGTAGATAAAGCTGTTAAAAAAGTATACAGGATATTCGGCTTTATAAATAGGGGCAAAGAATACAAAAGTCAGGAAGTTATGATGAACCTTTATAAAACACTGGTTAGGCCTCAGCTCTGGGCAACACACTTTAGGAAGGATGTCAAGGCATCAGAAAGGGTGCAAAGGAGATTTGCCAGGATGGTACCAAGAATGAGGGACTTCAGTTATCAGGAGAGGATAGAGAAGCTGGAATTATACTCCTTGGAGCAGAGAAGGTTAAGAGGAGACTTAATAGAAGTTTTTTAAATTATGAGGGTATTCGGTAGGGTGAACAAGGAGAAAGTATTTCCACTGGCGGGTGAGTCGGTAATCCGAGGACACAGATTTAAAATAGTTATTAAAAGAGGGGAGCTGAGGAGAAATGTTTTCACACAGCGAGTTGTTCGGATCTGGAATGCATTGCCTGAAAGGGTGGTGGAAGCCGATTCGATAACAACTTTTAAGAGAGAAGTATATAATTATTTGGGGAGGACAAGTTTGCAGGGCTATGGGGAGAGAGCGGGGGAGTGCTGTATAATTCTATGAAATGTTACGGTCCCGACTATGTACATTTTACTGTACTGTAAAGTGTAGTGACTGTGTGTTTTGTGGGTGAATGTCCTGAAAATGGGGGTGATTAACTCAGATTCAGATCAAGTAAAATACCAAGATTGCACATCAGAGTCTTGGGTTCTCTAGTGATGGGTTTCCACACTCGTCAGTCACTCAGCCAACCAAAAGAAAAAAAACTATTTGTAAGTATAGTGAGCCCTTAGCTGAAGCACCCACAAGTGCATGGACGGCTCACAACGCACCATCCATCCTACAAACTCTCTAACTCCTCCACTAGAATTGCCAACCAGATAAATAATAATCCTTGCATTTGATATAATGCCTTATCACATTGTTGAGACACCTCAAAATGTTTCATAGGACATACTGTAAAGTGCTGTGATGTATTTTGTGGGCGAACACACCAGCCAAGTTGTGCAAGCAATATTCCACACACTGATAAAATGAATGACCAATTATACTTAGGGGAGACTGATCGCCAGGAAACCAAGAGAAACTCCCTTCTATTTTTGAATAGTGTCATGGGATTTCCAAAATCCACCTGGAAAGGCAGACAGGATGTTGGTTTAACGTCTCATTCAAAGGACAATACCTCCAACAATGGAGCACCCCAGCACTGCATTAGAATGCCAGCTTAGCAGAAAAGTTTATAAAACACTTTATAAAACAACTTGCGTTTATATAACACCCCTCACACAGGGTAGCATCTCAGAGCATCTCAGAATTTAAAAACAGCTTAAATTCAACTAATTCAGAATGCCAGCGCCCGGATTCTCACTCATACAAAACTCTGCACCCCCATCATACCAGTCTTTGCCAGGTTCCACTGACTCCCAATTACTGAACAGATTAATTTCAACATCCTCTCACTCATTTTCAAATCCCTTCATGCCCCGCGTGAAGGGCACTACATAAATGCAAGTTGTGGTTCAACAATCCATTCCACATCATGCACATTTGAAGTCTGCACTTCACTCACAGATTATTGAGCAGTGCAAAAGATCTTAATTGTGAAGAATTCAAGGCAGAGAGAACAACCTAGGGAAAGTGTAAATTAAAACAATTTTGATATTTATTCCTTCCTATTTCCTACTCATAAGTTCCAGAATTTCCAAGATAGAACTGGATGAGCTATTTTGACAAGATGATAGCAAGTTTAAGATGGGTCAACATTTAACAAGAGAGTAAACTTCCTAAAATATTACTCACCACTATATCTCCTTCCTCGATTCGCAAGCCTGCCATTGATCCTGTAAGACGGGGGGAAACATTTCATTATTTGTAATAATCAATGTATAGCTATTTCAATATTACAACATATTGCGCCCTTCACATTAGATGGTTTCTCGGAGCGCTTAACTGTGGTGGAGCACAATGCCGAGGGGTAAGGTGACCGTAGGCATGGTAGAAGAGGAAGGTCTTCAAGATGAAAATGGGGCGTGAAGGGATTTAAATGCAAGAGTGAAGATCTTGAAATCAATAATAATAATAATCCTTGCATTTGATATAGCGCTTTTCACTGTCGAGACGTCCAAAGCGCTTCACAGAAAACTGTAAAGTGAATTGACTGTATATTTGTGGGCGAACGCGGCAGCCAATTGCGCACAGCAATGTCCCACAAACAGTCGTAGATTGAAAATGACCAATTTTTATTATTGTTTTTGGTTTTGGAGGGATTATTATTAGGCGTGTGGAGTAAGGAAACTTGCCCAAGGTTTCGCCCTCTGCCTGGAATTGAACTCAGGTCTCTCACTTGCAAAGCGAGTGCTCTAACCACTGAGCTACAGGACTCCAATGTGTCGGATGTGGAGGAAAGCGGTCATGGCCAGGCAGGCAATGTGGTGGAGGTGGAAGAAAGCGGTTCTGGCCAGGGCAATGTGGTGGAGGTGCTGGCCAGGGACCCGGTGTGAGTACGAAAGATAGCTGGGGACGGGTTTGGTTAGTCTCAAGGAGTGGTCGGGGAGGGCGGAGGTCAGGGAGGGCGAGAAGGTCGGGGAGGTGGGGGAGGGTGAGGAGGTCAGTGAAAGTAAACTCCCTACCTCCATTACTGCAGGAGAGAAGACTTTGACGGAAGCAAAGAGTATGGCTTCCGTCTTGTCAACGTTCAGCTGCAGGAAGTCTGCGCTCATCCAGGCCTTGTTGTCTGTCCAACAAGCTGCAGAACATCAGTGGACTGGGAGTCGCAGAGAAGTAGATTTGAGTGTCATCCACATACATGTGGAAGTTTACCCCGTTTCTGTGGGTAACATCAGCGAGAAGAAGCATATAGATGAAGATAAGAACGGGGCCAAGGATGAGTCTTGGGAGTTCCCCACAGGTGACCGGGTGGGGGTAAGGGGGTAAACCATTGGCTGAGATGAAGCGCTGGCAGTTGGTTAAGTAGAACTCAAACCATCACTAAGGTGGATGGGGAGTAGAGGCGGTGGAGGAGGATGGCGTGGTCGACTGTGTCGAATGCAGCGGAGAGGTCCAGGAGGATGAGTAGGCAGAAGGAGCCCTAGTCACAGAGAGAGAGGACGTCATTTGTTACATTGACAAGCGCTGTCTCTGTGCTAGGGGGCCAGGTGGAGAAATGCTTTGACATCCTGCAACATAAAAGCTGCTAAATTAATGTAAATTGTTGTCTTCCTATTTTATTAGTTAATAGCAGCTCCTCAGCTTGATCCCATTTTACACTGTAATTTCTGTATCCATTAAGGCACTTAGCCATATACCTATCTTTCTCCCTATTAAAGCATGGGAATTGATTTTGCATTAATGACATCCTGGAGTAGTGTATTCCACATTTTTCCAACCATTTGTAAAGAAATGTTTTTTGAATTTGTTTTTAATCAGTTGGCTACTAAGTTGTGTTCATTGTTCTATTTTGAAGACATTCTCAATCTACCTTGTCAATTCTCTTATTCTTTTGCACACTTCAATTGGACCACCCAGTCTCCTTACTTAGCTCCATAGAGTATCTTACTCATTATATCCATAGCTAGATCCTTTCATCCTGCTATTATCCTGTGAATCATCATTAGAGTTCCACCAATGCTAATATATCTTTCCTAAAATGAGGATGCCTAAAATTGAACTCAAATATTCCAAATGTTATCTGGCAAGTGCTTTGTGTAACTAAACAAGTACTACTTTGATATTACATTTAAGCCCAGCATCCAATTAGCCAATTGTTCTGTACATCTGCAAACCATCTTTTAATCACTTATCTCAGGGGAGTCCAACCTTTTGTCTGCTGCGGCTGGACGATAGATTTGAGAAATAAATCCCCGGGCCTCATAAGCAATATTTTTGTGTTTCCCTTCCAGAAACATAATCCGTAAGAATTACATAGAGATCCTAAATGACTTAATATCACTATAACTTAGTTCCAATGCAAACTTTAAATAGGCAATGTAAAAATTATACAAATTTTAAAACGATAACACAGCCAGCAACGAGGTATTTGGCTCTCCTTCTCACTGTATCTTGTGTGCGTGTCTCTTTGTATCTGTGTGCACATCTCTCTGTGTCTTTGCGTGTGTCTCTGTGTCTGTGCGCGCATCTCTGGCTGTGCGGGCATCCATCTGTGCCTGTGCGGGTATCCATCTGTGCCTGTGCGGGCATCCATCTGTGCCTGTGCGCGCGTCCATCTGTGCCAGTGTGTGTCTCTGTGTGTGTGTCTCTCTCTCTCTCTCTCTCTCTGTATCTGTCTGTGTGTGTGTGTCTCTCTCTGTGTCTGTTTGTCTCTGTGTGCGTGTGTGCATCTCTTTGTGTGTCTCTATGTGTGTGTGTCTGTCTGTGTGTGTCTCTCTCTGTGTATCTGTAAGTGTGTGTGTCTCTGGGTGTTTTGTGTGTGTCTCTGGGTATGTGTATGTGTGTGTCTAATAATAATCCTTGCCTTTGATATAGCACTTTTCATGTCTTCTCGACATCTCAAAGCGCTTCACAGAATATACTGTAAAGTGAATTGACTGCATATTTGTGGACAAAACGCAGCAGCCAATTGCGCACAGCAGTGTCCCACAAACAGTCGTGGATTGAAGTGACCAATTTATTTTTGTTTTGGATGGATTATTATTAGTGGAATAAGGAAACTTGCCCAAGGTTTCACCCTGCCTGGAATTGAACCCAGGTGTCTCGCTTGCAAGGCGAGTGCTCTAACCACTGAGATACAGTGTGTGTGAGTGTGTCTGGGTGTGTGTGTGTCTTGGTGTTTATGTGTGTGTTTGGGTGTGTGTGTCTGCGTGTGTGTGTGTGTGTGTCTCTGTGTGTGTGTGTGTGTCTTTCTCTCTCTCCTTGTCTGTGCGTGACTCTCTGTGTCTGTGCGTATGTGTCTCTGGGTATGTGTATGTGTCTCTGCGTGCGTCTGTGTCTCAGTGTGTTAGTGTATTTGGGTGTGTGTGTGTCTGGGTGTGTGTGTTTGTGTCTCTGGGTGTGTGTCTCTCTGGGTGTGTGTGTTTGTCTCTGGTTATGTGTCTCTCTGGGTGTGTTTGTGTGTGTCTCTGTGTGTGTGCGTGTTTCTGTGTGTGTGTATGTCTGTGTGTGTGTGTCTCTTGCTGTGTCTGTGTGTGTGTGTGTCTGTCTCTCTGCTTGTCTGTGTGTATCTCTCTGTGTCTGTGTGCGTGTCTGCCTCTGGCTGTGTGTGTGTCTCAAGGTGGGTGTGTGTGTGCCTTTGGGTGTGTGTATATGTGTGTGTCGGGTGTGTGTGTCTCTGGGTGTGTGTGTTTGTGTCTGTGTGTGTGTATCTCTTTCTGTATCTGTGTGTGTCTCTGGGTGTGTGTGTTTGTGTCTGGGTGTGTGTGTTTGTGTCTGTGGGTGTGTGTGTGTCTGTGGGTGTGTGTGTGTCTGTGGGTGTGTGTGTGTCTCTGGGTGTGTGTGTGTCTCTGTATGTGTGTGTGTGTGTGCCCCTGTGTGTGTATGTCTTTGTGTGTGTCTGGGTGTGTGTGTTTGTGTCTGTGTGTGTGTATCTCTTTCTGTATCTGTGTGTGTCTCTGGGTGTGTGTGTTTGTGTCTGGGTGTGTGTGTGTGTGTCTGTGGGTGTGTGTGTGTCTGTGGGTGTGTGTGTGTCTCTGTATGTGTGTGTGTCTCTGTATGTGTGTGTGTATGTCTTTGTGTGTGTCTGGGTGTGTGTGTCTCTGAGTGTGTGCGTATGTTTCTGGGTGTGTGTGTGTGTCTGTGGGTTTGTGTTTGTCTGTGTCTGTGGGTGTGTCTGTGTGTGTGTTTGTGTGTCTCTGGGTGTGTGTGGGTCTCTGGGTGTGTGTGGTTACTCTTGGGGTGTGTGTCTGTGTGTCTCTGGGTGTGCGTGGTTATCTCTCGGTGTGTGTGTCTGTGTGTGTGTCTCTGAGTCTGTGTGTGCGCGGGTCTCTCTGTGTCTGTATGCGCGACTCTGTGTGTCTGTCTGTGCGTGTGTCTCTGTGTGTGTGTGTTTGTATCTGTGTGTGTGTATTAGTCTGTGTGTGTGTGTCTCTGGATGTGTGTGTGTGTCTCTGGGTTGTGTGTCTCTGAGTGTGTGTGTATGTTTCTTTGGGTGTGTGTGTGTCTGTGGGTGTGTGTTTGTCTGTGTGTGTGTGTGTCTCTGGGTGTGTGTGTGTTTCTCTGTGTGTGTGTGTGTCTCTGGGTGTGTGTGTGTGTGTCTCTGGGTGTGTGTGTGTGTGTGTCTCTGGGTGTGTGTGTGTGTCTCTGGGTGTGTGTGTGTGTCTCTGGGTGTGTGTGTGTGTGTCTCTGGGTGTGTGTGTGTGTGTCTCTGGGTGTGTGTGTGTGTCTCTGGGTGTGTGTATGTCTGTGTGTGAGTCTCTGGGTGTGTGTGTCTCTGTGTGAATATTTCTCTGTGTGTGTGTCTTTGGGTGTATGTGTCTGGGTGTGTGTGTGTCTCTGGGTGTGTGTGTGTATCTCTGGTTGTGTGTCTGAGTGTGTGTGTGTGTCTCTGGGTGTGTGTCTGTGTTTCTGGGTGTGCGTCTGTGTCTTTGGGTCTGTGTGTGTGTAGGTGCTTCTGTGTGTATGTCTGCGTGTGTGTGTTTCTCTGGGTATATGTGTCTGTATGTGTGTCTCCAGGTGTGTGTCTCTAGATGTGTGTGTGTCTGGGTGTTTGTGTATGTTTCTGTGTGTGTCTCTGGGTGTGTGTGTTTGTGTGTGTGTGTGTCTCTGGGTTAGTGTGTGTGTGTGTCTCTTGGTGTTTGTGTGTGTCTCTGGGTGTATGTGTCTGTCTGTGTGTGTGTGTGTGTCTCTGGGTGTGTGTGTGTGTGTGTTTCTCTCTCTCCTTGTCTGTGCGTGACTCTCTGTGTCTGTGCGTATGTGTCTCTGGGTATGTGTATGTGTCTCTGCGTGCGTCTGTGTCTCAGTGTGTTAGTGTATTTGGGTGTGTGTGTGTCTGGGTGTGTGTGTTTGTGTCTCTGGGTGTGTGTCTCTCTGGGTGTGTGTGTTTGTCTCTGGGTATGTGTCTCTCTGGGTGTGTTTGTGTGTGTCTCTGTGTGTGTGCGTGTTTCTGTGTGTGTGTATGTCTGTGTGTGTGTGTCTCTTGCTGTGTCTGTGTGTGTGTGTGTCTGTCTCTCTGCCTGTCTGTGTGTATCTCTCTGTGTCTGTGTGCGTGTCTGCCTCTGGCTGTGTGTGTGTCTCAAGGTGGGTGTGTGTGTGCCTTTGGGTGTGTGATATGTGTGTGTCGGGTGTGTGTGTCTCTGGGTGTGTGTGTTTGTGTCTGTGTGTGTGTATCTCTTTCTGTATCTGTGTGTGTCTCTGGGTGTGTGTGTTTGTGTCTGGGTGTGTGTGTTTGTGTCTGTGGGTGTGTGTGTCTGTGGGTGTGTGTGTGTCTCTGTGTGTGTGTGTCTCTGTATGTGTGTGTGTGTGTGTGCCTCTGTGTGTGTGTGTATGTCTTTGTGTGTGTCTGGGTGTGTGTGTCTCTGAGTGTGTGCGTATGTTTCTGGGTGTGTGTGTGTCTGTGGGTGTGTGTTTGTCTGTGTCTGTGTGTGTCTCTGGGTGTGTGTGGGTCTCTGGGTGTGTGTGGTTACCCTGGGGGGGTGTGTATGTGTGTGTGTCTGGGTGTGCGTGGTTATCTCTCGGTGTGTGTGTCTGTGTGTGTGTCTCTGAGTCTGTGTGTGCGCGGGTCTCTCTGTGTCTGTATGTGCGACTCTGTGTGTCTGTCTGTCTGTGCGTGTGTCTCTGTGTGTGTGTGTTTGTATCTGTGTGTGTGTATTAGTCTGTGTGTGTGTGTCTCTGGATGTGTGTGTGTGTCTCTGGGTGTGTGTTTGTGCCTCTGTTTGTATGTATGTCTGTGTGTGTGTGTCTCTGAGTGTGTGTGTATGTTTCTTTGGGTGTGTGTGTGTCTGTGGGTGTGTGTGTCTCTGGGTGTGTGTGTGTTCTCTGTGTGTGTGTGTTTCTCTGTGTGTGTGTGTGTGTCTCTGGGTGTGTGTGTGTGTCTCTGGGTGTGTGTGTGTGTCTCTGGGTGTGTGTGTGAGTCTCTGGGTGTGTGTGTCTCTGTGTGAATATTTCTCTGTGTGTGTGTCTTTGGGTGTATGTGTCTGGGTGTGTGTGTGTCTCTGGGTGTGTGTGTGTATCTCTGGTTGTGTGTCTGAGTGTGTGTGTGTGTCTCTGGGTGTGTGTCTGTGTTTCTGGGTGTGCGTCTGTGTCTTTGGGTCTGTGTGTGTGTAGGTGCTTCTGTGTGTATGTCTGCGTGTGTGTGTTTCTCTGGGTATATGTGTCTGTATGTGTGTGTCTCCAGGTGTGTGTCTCTAGATGTGTGTGTGTCTGGGTGTTTGTGTATGTTTCTGTGTGTGTCTCTGGGTGTGTGTGTTTGTGTGTGTGTGTGTGTATCTCTTTCTGTATCTGTGTGTGTCTCTGGGTGTGTGTGTGTCTCTGTGTGTGTGTGTGTGTTCTGGGTGTGTGTGTTTGTGTCTGTGGGTGTGTGTGTTTGTGTCTGTGGGTGTGTGTGTGTCTCTGGGTGTGTGTGTATCTCTGTATGTGTGTGTGTGTGCCTTTGTGTGTGTATGTCTTTGTGTGTGTCTGGGTGTGTGTGTCTCTGAGTGTGTGCGTATGTTTCTGGGTGTGTGTGTGTGTCGGTGGGTTTGTGTTTGTCTGTGGGTGTGTCTGTGTGTCTGTTTGTGTGTCTCTGGGTGTGTGTGGGTCTCTGGGTGTGTGTGGTTACTCTTGGGGTGTGTGTCTGTGTGTCTCTGGGTGTGCGTGGTTATCTCTCGGTGTGTGTGTCTGTGTGTGTGTCTCTGAGTCTGTGTGTGCGCGGGTCTCTCTGTGTCTGTATGCGCGACTCTGTGTGTCTGTCTGTGCGTGTGGCTCTGTGTGTGTGTGTTTGTATCTGTGTGTGTGTATTAGTCTGTGTGTGTGTGTCTCTGGATGTGTGTGTGTGTCTCTGGATGTGTGTGTGTGTGTCTGGATGTGTGTGTGTCTGTGGGTGTGTGTGTCTCTGGGTGTGTGTGTGTGTCTGTGTGTGTGTGTGTCTCTGGGTGTGTGTGTGTGTCTCTGGGTGTGTGTGTGTGTGTCTCTGGGTGTGTGTGTCTCTGGTGTGTGTGTGTGTCTCTGGGTGTGTGTGTGTGTCTCTGGGTGTGTGTATGTCTGTGTGTGTGTCTCTGGGTGTGTGTGTCTCTGTGTGAATATTTCTCTGTGTGTGTGTCTTTGGGTGTATGTGTCTGGGTGTGTGTGTGTCTCTGGGTGTGTGTGTGTATCTCTGGTTGTGTGTCTGAGTGTGTGTGTGTGTCTCTGGGTGTGTGTCTGTGTTTTCTGGGTGTGCGTCTGTGTCTTTGGGTCTGTGTGTGTGTAGGTGCTTCTGTGTGTATGTCTGCGTGTGTGTGTTTCTCTGGGTATATGTTGTCTGTATGTGTGTGTCTCCAGGTGTGTGTCTCTAGATGTGTGTGTGGGTCTGGGTGTTTGTGTATGTTTCTTGTGTGTGTCCTGGTGGTGTGTGTTTGCCAAAGCAGAGTGTGGATTCATGATGGACAAAATGGGTCAACGCAAATATAACTTACAAGAGTACAGCTTACAGGAAAGATTGGAGCATGGAAAGACAGAATGGGGACGAGGGGGTCGAAATAAATCTTGTTGTGATTTTACATATGTGGTCAGATAACATCATGGATAGGAGATCTGAGGAACTAAAGAAAGAATACATGGAGCCAGTGCCTATATTATCTGGGAGTGTCGAAAGAATGAACAGAATAATTAGCTTCAACGTCTGGTTCGGAAAAGTGTGTGTGCAGGAGGGAATTGAGTTTGTAGCTGGATGCCTGGGAAACTTTTTCAAGCAGACAACATAGAAAGGATGGTTTACACTTAACTAAATGGGAAGCGAAACTGCTGCACAAAGCAGCAATTGTGTTCTATTTAAGAAGGGGAGGGGGAATGCCTATTTAAAAGAAAACACAGACCGGTTGATCATCAGGACGATATGAGAAAGGCTAAATCGTTTAGAGACCAAAAATTAGGGGAAATACTTAAATCAAGAGTGCATGGATCTTAGAAAGCAACAAAACTGCTACGAGGAAGATTAAGGGGCAAAGAGCAAAATTAGGTGCATATACATAAATGCTAGCAACATTTAAAAAAATAGTGGAAGTAGAGGCACTGGAGATATGGTAGGAATCAGAAACATGACTATGCCAGGTCAACCGATATAGAACTTACAAGGTTACAGCTTAAAGGAAGGATTGGAACAATAGGAAACATGAAGCGATTTCCAAATATAAAAGGGACACCTGGGAGGTTAAGGTAGTTGAGCGCCTTAGGACATCCTCGACATGAAAGGCGCAATATAAATACAATTTGTTGTTGTTGAGCAAACATCGCAGGAGCAATTATGGTATGAAATCCTCTGGTTTGATGTGCTCAACGAGAACAATTCTAGACTGATATTTGGGATATTTTACACTTTAGACTAATTTTATTGGAGGGCAAATCCAACACTACCAAACAATGAACTAGGCTATGCATTTGCATGCACACATTTACTAGTGTACCTATATATCCACTATTCCCTGGAGTAGTTTCCTTTAAAGCTTTGGAGAATTCGTCCCACGAACCATTGGCACATTCATCCCGGATTCTCTCTCTGGTCAGGGAACCATTCTTAAAACTAGAGACAAGACAATAAATATGGAACGACAACAAGCACATTTCATCCTAATAGTTTAAATTCAAATCAATTAATCTGTATATTAAAATGAATTCAATCTGGCTTCCTGATAAAACTTTTCATAAGATCCTACGACTTATTAAATCCTGATGTTGATGGTCGTAAAATACATTTGTCAAAATTACCTAAGGGAAAAGCAAGTTCATGAGAGAAACGTCATGCCCAGAGAAAGCAAAATAGCAGGAAAGATACTTGAGCACATATTTATAAAATACTTTAGTAAATGCTTTTACTCATGTTGAATATTGATGGTGGCAATAATAATTCAAATAATAAACCTGACATTATATGACTTCACACTGGGAAGAAACGATATACAATAAAACTTGCATAGGTCTTATTTATTATCAAATAACAATACACAGCACTCCGTATAATTGCATGGGGTCAGACCCGGACAGATGCCATGCAAGTATATGGAGTATGCAATTAACCAAAGTTTAGGAGTGGCCCCACCTTCCCAATGAAGTTTTCAAACATTTGAGTTAGGGCTATATTTAATTGTTTTCAGCCTCTTTCCAATTCTATTCAGAAACTATCCTTTACCATACAAGTGCCATGTAAGATTCGCAGTCAACAGGATTACAGAAGATATGTCCATCGACAGCAGGCTTTGGATCCTTAACTGAGAAGAAGACAGTGTCGCTCGTCCCAAGACTAACCTACAAAATCAAAGGAATAGGGTCTTACAAAACACTGGTGAATTTGATGTAAAAGTGGGTTATTATATGTACCGTCTTAATAGAATCAGAGAAATATACATCTGATTGCATTAACCTGACAATACATTTTTTTAAAAAAAACACTTTGGTAAACAATGGGCCAAATAGCCTCCTTCTGTGCTGTATAATTCTATGAAATGCTTTTACTCATGTTAAATGTTAATGGTTGAAATAATTATAATAATCCAAATAATATACCTTACATTATAGTGCCTTTCACGCTGGGAGGAAAGGATATACAATAAAACTTGCATAAGTCTTCTTTATAAATCGTATAACCGCCTGAACCCCATTAAGTTTCCTATTAAATCCACTTAGATTTCTTTGTATCACTTGTATCAATCATCTCCTAACTCGTAATCCCACTGTCCTACCCTCCATTACTCCCGCACTTACCAGCTGCTTTGAATCGCATAAAAATAACATCCTGACCTGTCGATGCATCATGTACCAGCAGCTACATTGAATCGTGGAAACCATAGGCTTCATCCGTTGACGCACAAGCAGAACTTCATTTCCCACGATTCAATGTGATTCCAACGCTTGCCGGTAAGCAAGATTTCTCGTAAGTCACATTAAATACGGTTGTTTTTCTGACTGGAGGGAAATGTGCAGGGTGTCCCCCAGGGGTCAATATTGGGACCACTGCTGTCTGTGGTCTATATAAATGACCTGGACTTGGGTATAAGGAGTACAATTTCCAAGTATGCAGATGATACTAACCTGGAAAAGTAGTAAACAATGAGGAGGATAGTAGTAGACTCAAGGGGACATAGACAGACTGGTAAAATGGGCAGACACGTGGCAGATGAAATTTAATGTGGAGAAATGCAAAGTCATGCATTTTGGGAGGAGGAATAAGGAGAGGCAATATAAGCTGATGGTACAATCTTAAAGAGGGTGAAGGAACAGAGAGACCTGGGGGTTCATATAAGTAAATCTTTGAAGGTGGCAGGACAGGTAGATAAAGCTGTTAAAAAAGTATACAGGATATTCGGCTTTATAAATAGGGGCAAAGAATACAAAAGTCAGGAAGTTATGATGAACCTTTATAAAACACTGGTTAGGCCTCAGCTCTGGGCAACACACTTTAGGAAGGATGTCAAGGCATCAGAAAGGGTGCAAAGGAGATTTGCCAGGATGGTACCAAGAATGAGGGACTTCAGTTATCAGGAGAGGATAGAGAAGCTGGAATTATACTCCTTGGAGCAGAGAAGGTTAAGAGGAGACTTAATAGAAGTTTTTTAAATTATGAGGGTATTCGGTAGGGTGAACAAGGAGAAAGTATTTCCACTGGCGGGTGAGTCGGTAATCCGAGGACACAGATTTAAAATAGTTATTAAAAGAGGGGAGCTGAGGAGAAATGTTTTCACACAGCGAGTTGTTCGGATCTGGAATGCATTGCCTGAAAGGGTGGTGGAAGCCGATTCGATAACAACTTTTAAGAGAGAAGTATATAATTATTTGGGGAGGACAAGTTTGCAGGGCTATGGGGAGAGAGCGGGGGAGTGCTGTATAATTCTATGAAATGTTACGGTCCCGACTATGTACATTTTACTGTACTGTAAAGTGTAGTGACTGTGTGTTTTGTGGGTGAATGTCCTGAAAATGGGGGTGATTAACTCAGATTCAGATCAAGTAAAATACCAAGATTGCACATCAGAGTCTTGGGTTCTCTAGTGATGGGTTTCCACACTCGTCAGTCACTCAGCCAACCAAAAGAAAAAAAACTATTTGTAAGTATAGTGAGCCCTTAGCTGAAGCACCCACAAGTGCATGGACGGCTCACAACGCACCATCCATCCTACAAACTCTCTAACTCCTCCACTAGAATTGCCAACCAGATAAATAATAATCCTTGCATTTGATATAATGCCTTATCACATTGTTGAGACACCTCAAAATGTTTCATAGGACATACTGTAAAGTGCTGTGATGTATTTTGTGGGCGAACACACCAGCCAAGTTGTGCAAGCAATATTCCACACACTGATAAAATGAATGACCAATTATACTTAGGGGAGACTGATCGCCAGGAAACCAAGAGAAACTCCCTTCTATTTTTGAATAGTGTCATGGGATTTCCAAAATCCACCTGGAAAGGCAGACAGGATGTTGGTTTAACGTCTCATTCAAAGGACAATACCTCCAACAATGGAGCACCCCAGCACTGCATTAGAATGCCAGCTTAGCAGAAAAGTTTATAAAACACTTTATAAAACAACTTGCGTTTATATAACACCCCTCACACAGGGTAGCATCTCAGAGCATCTCAGAATTTAAAAACAGCTTAAATTCAACTAATTCAGAATGCCAGCGCCCGGATTCTCACTCATACAAAACTCTGCACCCCCATCATACCAGTCTTTGCCAGGTTCCACTGACTCCCAATTACTGAACAGATTAATTTCAACATCCTCTCACTCATTTTCAAATCCCTTCATGCCCCGCGTGAAGGGCACTACATAAATGCAAGTTGTGGTTCAACAATCCATTCCACATCATGCACATTTGAAGTCTGCACTTCACTCACAGATTATTGAGCAGTGCAAAAGATCTTAATTGTGAAGAATTCAAGGCAGAGAGAACAACCTAGGGAAAGTGTAAATTAAAACAATTTTGATATTTATTCCTTCCTATTTCCTACTCATAAGTTCCAGAATTTCCAAGATAGAACTGGATGAGCTATTTTGACAAGATGATAGCAAGTTTAAGATGGGTCAACATTTAACAAGAGAGTAAACTTCCTAAAATATTACTCACCACTATATCTCCTTCCTCGATTCGCAAGCCTGCCATTGATCCTGTAAGACGGGGGGAAACATTTCATTATTTGTAATAATCAATGTATAGCTATTTCAATATTACAACATATTGCGCCCTTCACATTAGATGGTTTCTCGGAGCGCTTAACTGTGGTGGAGCACAATGCCGAGGGGTAAGGTGACCGTAGGCATGGTAGAAGAGGAAGGTCTTCAAGATGAAAATGGGGCGTGAAGGGATTTAAATGCAAGAGTGAAGATCTTGAAATCAATAATAATAATAATCCTTGCATTTGATATAGCGCTTTTCACGTCGGGAGGACGTCCCAAAGCGCTTCACAGAACACACTGTAAAGTGAATTGACTGTATATTTGTGGGCGAACGCGGCAGCCAATTGCGCACAGCAATGTCCCACAAACAGTCGTAGATTGAAAATGACCAATTTTTATTATTGTTTTTGGTTTTGGAGGGATTATTATTAGGCGTGTGGAGTAAGGAAACTTGCCCAAGGTTTCGCCCTCTGCCTGGAATTGAACTCAGGTCTCTCACTTGCAAAGCGAGTGCTCTAACCACTGAGCTACAGGACTCCAATGTGTCGGATGTGGAGGAAAGCGGTCATGGCCAGGCAGGCAATGTGGTGGAGGTGGAAGAAAGCGGTTCTGGCCAGGGCAATGTGGTGGAGGTGCTGGCCAGGGACCCGGTGTGGAGTACGAAAGATAGCTGGGGACGGGTTTGGTTAGTCTCAAGGAGTGGTCGGGGAGGGCGGAGGGTCAGGGAGGGCGAGAAGGTCGGGGAGGTGGGGGAGGGTGAGGAGGTCAGTGAAAGTAAACTCCCTACCTCCATTACTGCAGGAGAGAAGACTTTGACGGAAGCAAAGAGTATGGCTTCCGTCTTGTCAACGTTCAGCTGCAGGAAGTCTGCGCTCATCCAGGCCTTGTTGTCTGTCCAACAAGCTGGCAGAACATCAGTGGACTGGGAGTCGCAGAGAAGTAGATTTGAGTGTCATCCACATACATGTGGAAGTTTACCCCGTTTCTGTGGGTAACATCAGCGAGAAGAAGCATATAGATGAAGATAAGAACGGGGCCAAGGATGAGTCTTGGGAGTTCCCCACAGGTGACCGGGTGGGGGTAAGGGGGTAAACCATTGGCTGAGATGAAGCGCTGGCAGTTGGTTAAGTAGAACTCAAACCATCACTAAGGTGGATGGGGGAGTAGAGGCGGTGGAGGAGGATGGCGTGGTCGACTGTGTCGAATGCAGCGGAGAGGTCCAGGAGGATGAGTAGGCAGAAGGAGCCCTAGTCACAGAGAGAGAGGACGTCATTTGTTACATTGACAAGCGCTGTCTCTGTGCTAGGGGGCCAGGTGGAAACCAGACTGGAGGGTTTAGAGTAGGGAGTGGAGTGCGAGGTGTGAGCGAAGTTGGTTTGCAACAAGCGTTCCATGGCTTTGGCCAGGAATGGCAGGTTTGAAGTGGAACGGTAGATTGTGAGGTTGAAGAGATCGAGAGTAGTTTTTTTAAGGAGGGCAGTGATGACAGCTGTTTTGAGGAGGAGTGGACTTGAGAATGAGGAGAGGGACTAATTTATGGTGTCTGCCAAGTGAGCAGAGGAGGGGGAGTTGGGCGACCAGCAACTGGGTGGAGACAGGGTCAACACAGCAGGCGGTGAGTTTCATCTGGGTGACGGAGAATGAGAGGAGGCACAGATGGGGACAGAGGAGTGTAGGTTGGGGCCCGTGGGACCAGATGTGGGAGGAGTGTGTGAAGAAGGAATGGGGGTGGTGGTGGGGGAAATGGGGCAGGAGGAGGCAGCCAGGTGTATGTCATCTATCTTGGAGATAAATATCTCCAAGACCTCTTCTCACTTAGCATTTGATATTAGGATTGAAGGTGCTTGATGGGGCGCGTGGAGGAGGTGGTGGAAAACAAGATTTTGGAATTGTTTTGGGCCTCTAGAATGACCAGTGCAGTTTTGGCTTGTGAGCGGGTGCGGCAGTTGGTGTGAAGATGCTTAAACCACAGCTATGAACTATCAAGCCGGTTTTGTGCCATCTGTGCTCGAGCAGCTGGGTATGTGATTTCAGGTAGAGGAATACCAGGGGGAGCGAGCAAGATGGGAGATGGTCCTGGATTTCAGGGGGACAAGGGAATCAAAGGTGGAGGAGGGGCAATTGTTTAGCAGCTTGATGGCCGTATTAGAACTGCTGCAGGTGGAAGGACAGAAGGAGAGAAGGTCCAAAGATGAGGCGGCGTTTGTGAGGGACTTGGGGACTTGAGCGGAAGCTTTTTCCACGGGGGGTAAAAGATGTGGAGAGCTTGGAGGAAAGGAGGATGCTGAAGGAGAGGGAGATGAAGAAGTGGTCAGAGATGGCCTTGTTCATGATGGAAAGACCAGAGATGTCTTAGGCATGGGCCAGGCCAATAGAAAAGTGCGGAAATATTTGCCAAAAAAAGTTTGAGAGTTTCCCGGGAAATTGCAGGGGGTTGATTATTGGTGCTATTGAGGTACATAAACTTAGTGCCCTTTCTTTTGGGGGGGGGGAAACGGGACACCAGCGAGGCTACAGGAGCTCACCACCTCCTGCCTCTCAGGGCCAGCACGACACACAGACCCAGAGACACGAGAGATAGAGGGACATACACACACTCATAGACATAGAGAGAGACACACATTCTCAGACACAAAGATATACACAGATTCATTCACAGAGACACTCAGAAACACACACACATATAGAAGAGACGAGACACACACAGCCACACTCAAACATAAATACACAGGAAAGAGACACACTCACAGACACTTACAAGTAAATAAGACATACACTCACAAACACAGACATACAGACATGCAGAAACACAGAAAGTCACAAACACAAACACACACACTCACAAACACACACATACACTCACACACAGAGACACACAGACACTCACAATCGCACAAATACACACACAATCAGAACAGCGGGGCCAACAAGTGAAACTCATTTGGCACTTGCACTGAACGGCGCATGTGCATCCGGAGCCGGTCCCCCCACAGTGACGTCAGGTAACCAGTAAGCGGCTCATGAGCCAGAAACGTTGTTTATAACATAACATGTAGGAGCAGGAGTAGGCCTTTCTCTTTGACCGTGCCTTCAGCTCCCCTCTCGACTCTCTTCCTCCTCCTCGCTCCCTCCCTTCCCTCCCCTCACCCTGACCATTTCCCCCCTCCTCTCTCCCTCCCTTCCCTCCCCTCACCCTGACCATTTCCCCCCTGCTCGGGTCATGACCCAACTGTGCAGCACCTTGGGACGTCCTCCTGACGTGAAAGGCGCTCTATAAATGGAATCTTGCTGTTGTTGTTGTTGTTGTAGGCCATTCAGCGCTTCGAGCCTGCCCCACCATTCAATCATGGCTGATCTTCTAATCTAACTCCAGCTAATAACCTGAACCTGCCTTATCCCCATATCCCTTAATCCCTTTTGCAATAAGAAATCTATCTATCTCAGTCTTGAATATGTTCAAGGACTGAGCGTCAACAGCCCTTTGGGGTAGTGAGTTCCATACATTCACCCCCCTTTGAGTGAAGAAGTTCTTCCTCAACTCAGTGCAAAAGGGCTGGCCTCTGATTTTAAGGTTGTGACCCCTGGTTTTAGTTTCTCCAACCAGGGGAAACAATCTCCCACTATCTACTCTATCATGCCCTTTGATGATCTTATAGGTTTCTATAAGATCCCCTCTAATTCTTCTATATTCTAGAGAATATAGGCCCAAATTGGTCAGCCTATCCTCGTAACTCACCCCTTCATCCCTGGTACTAACCTAGTAAATCTACGCTGCACCCCCTCCAAGGCAAGTACATCCTTCCTTAAATAAGGAGACCAAAACTGCACACAGTATTCCAGGTGTGGTCTCACCAGGGCCCTATACAGTTGCAGCAAGACTTCCCTACTCTTATACTCTAATCCTTTCATAATGAATGCTAACATACCGTTCGCCTTCCTAATTGCTGCTGCACCTGCAGACTAACTTTCTGTGATTGGTGTACAAGGACACCCAAGTCCCTCTGGACGCTAACACATTCCAATCTCTCCCCTTCTAAAAAATAACCCGCTCTACTGTTTTTGCTACCTAGGTGGATGACTTCGCACTTCCCTACATTATACTTCATCTGCCACCTACCTGCCCAATCACCTAACCTATCTATGTCTCGCTGCATTTTTTTAATGTCGTCCTCTGTGTTGACACTTCCTCCTAGTTTTGTGTCATCCGTGAATTTAGATATATTAACTTCGATGTCCTCATCTAGATCGTTGATGTAGATGGTAAATAGCTGAGGCCCAAGGACTGATCCTTGTGGCACTCCACTAGTCACATCCCGCCAATCTGAAAAGGACCCGTTTATCCCTACTCTTTGTTTCCTACCCGTTAACCATTCCCCAATCCACGTTAATATGCTCCCCCAATTCCATGGGCCCTTATCTTTTGGACTAACCTTTTATGCGGCACCTTATCGAATGCCTTCTGGAAGTCCAAATAGACCACATCCACTGATTCACCCTTATCTAGTTTACTGGAAATATCCTCAAAAAACTCTATGAGATTTGTCAAACATGACTTCCCTTTTGTAAAGCCATGTTGACTTGGCCTAATTATATTGTGCTCCCTAAATACCGCACTACCACATCCTTAATCAACGATTCTAAAATTTTTCCTATCACTGATGTGAGACTAACTGGCCTATAGTTCCCCATCTTTTCCTTTCCACCTTTTTTAAATAGTGGTGTGACATTTGCGATCTTCCAATCCATGGGGACTGTTCCAGAATCCAAGGAATTTTGGAAGATCAGACACAAGGCCTCCACTATCTCATAAGCTACCTCTTTTAAAACCCTGGGATGCAAGCCATCCGGACCAGGGGATTTGTCACTTTTTAGTGCTAACAGTTTCCCTAGCACCAATTCTCTACTAATGAAAATTTCCCTAAGTTGCTCCCTGTCCTTATCCCTTGGTGCATCTCTATTGTTGGCAGACTTGTTGTGTCTTCTAGGGTGAAGACAGATGCAAAGTACCCATTTAGGGACTCTGCCATGTCCTTATCCCCCATTACAACTTCTCCCGTCTCTGACTGAAGTGGACCTACATTTACCCTCACTAGCCTATTCCTCTTAATATATTTGTAAAAACTTTTACAATCAGACTTAATGTTCCTAGCTAGCTTACCCTCATACTCCTTTTTCTCGCTCTTAATGAGTTTTTTAGTTTTATTTTGCTGGTTTCTAAAACTCTCCCAATCTTCAGATTTGCTGCTTTTCTTGGCAGTTTTATAAGCCTTTTCTTTTAATTTGATGCTTTTCCTAACTGCTCTAGTTAGCCACGGATGAATTGCTTTCCCAGTACTCTTATTCCGCAAGGGAATATGCGACCGCTGAGAATTTTGCACTACATCCTTAAATATTTGCCACTGTTGGTCTACATTTTTACCTCTTAATCTTATTCTCCAGTCTATTTTACCTAAATCTTTCCTCATACCTACAAAATTAGCCCTATTTAAATTCAGAATACTTGCCTCGGATTTAACTATATCCCTCTCTAACTTAATGCAGAATTCAATCATATTGTGATCAGAGGATTCTTAATACCTACACTGCCAACTAGCCCTGTTTCGTTACACAAAACAAGGTCTAGGATGGCCTGTCCCCTAGTTGGTTCCTCGGCATGCTGCTCTAGAAAGTTATCTCTCATACACTCAATGAACTCTTCTTCTGACCTACTTTTGCCGATTTGGTTTTCCCAATCTATGTGGAGATTGAAATCACCCACTATTATCGCTTTACCTTTCCTACATGCTCCACTGATTTCTTGATTAATACCCTGTGCTATATTGTGATCATGTTTGGGGGTCTATAAACCACTCCCATTAATATTTTCTGCCCTTTATTATTTTTTATTTCCACCCATATTGTCTCGACCTCCTGGTCATCGGATTTCAGATCCTTCCTCTCCACTGCTTTTATTTCATCCCTAATTAACAGGGCTACCCCCCACCTCTTTTCCCACAGTGCCTATCTTTCCTGTAAACTGAGAACCCTGGAATATTTAACTCCCACCCTAGATCTCCTTGTAACCATGTTTCAGTGATGGCTACTAGATCGTACCCATATGTGTCTATCTGTGCTTTTAATTCATCAGTTTTATTCTGAATGCTTTGCGCATTCAGATATAACATTTTTAATTTCCTACCATTTCCTCTGCTCTGATTCCTTATCTACTTTGCCAAGCTTCTTACCCCTAGTTAACATATTCCTATTATCTGGCATGCTATTCTGCACTGTCATCTTTACTTTTTCTAATGCTAACTTATGGTTTCTCTTACCTATACCCCCCCCCTTTACTAGTTTAAATTCCTATTTATTTCCCTGTTAATTCGTTTAGCTAGGACATTTGTCCCAGCACGATTTAAATGCAGCCCTCTTCTCCGAAAGAGCTCTCTTTTCCCCCAATACTTGTGCCAATGGCCCATAAAAAGAAACCCGAGTTCCGCACCACTCATTTAGCCATGCGTTCAAGTCCTCAACTTGTTTGTTCCTGTACCAATTGTCGTATGGTACAGGCAGTAGTCCCGATATTACCACCTTTGATGATCTCAACTTCAATTTGGACCCCAGCTCTTCGAATTCCCTTCTCAAATCATCTTGGCCAACTCTACCGATGTTATTGGTATTATGCGAAGTACCACCAATGGATCCTTGCCCTCATATTTTAAATTATCCTCTAGCCCTGCCGAGACATCTTTCACCCCGGCCCCAGGGAGGCAACAAAGCCTTTGAGTCTTCTGGTTGGTGTTGCAGATGATTGTGGAGTCCTGTAGCTCAGTGGTTAGAGCACTCGCTTTGCAAGCGAGAGACCTGAGTTCAATTCCAGGCAGAGGGCGAAACCTTGGGCAAGTTTCCTTACTCCACACAGAGCCTAATAATAATCCCTCCAAAAAACAAAACAATAATAAATTGGTCATTTTCAATCTATGACTGTTTGTGGGACATTGCTGTGCGCAATTGGCTGCCGTGTTCGCCCACAAATATACAGTCAATTCACTTTACAGTGTGTTCTGTGAAGCGCTTTGGGACGTCCTCCCGACGTGAAAAGCGCTATATCAAATGCAAGGATTATTATTATTATTATTATTATTGTGTCTGTCTGCCTAATAGTCTCATCTCCAATGACAACAACCATCCGCTCTTTTGCCCCAGTGTTAGAGGTAGTTTTTCCTTCCACCTCACCGGCTTCCTTGTCGATACAAGTTCCAAGGATCTCATACCTGTTGTTCAAGGTTAATGCCGGATTAACTATCACTCTTTCTGTTGTCCCCTGACCTCCTGACTGTCCATTGACCTATCTTGACCATAACCAATGTTGAGTGTATATTCTCTCAGGGGAGTGACTGGCTACAGGATGTAGCTATCCAGGAAGCACTCACTGTCTCTGATACTCCGTAGTGTCTGCACCTCGGATTCCAGCTCAGCCACTCCGAGCTGGAGCTGCCTCAGTTGCAGACATCTTCTTCAGATGTGGTCGCCCGGGGTCAGACTACCCTTCATCATCTCCCATATGTCACACTCCTCACATAACACACCATTATCACCTCTTCCAACTTGAGTAAGTTAATTGGTTTAACTTAAGTTAATTAAGTTAAGTTAATTAAGTTTTAATTTAATCAAGTTGATCCAATTAAGTTGATCAAGTTAAGTTAAACCAATCAAGGTAAGTTGATCAAGTTAAGTCTGTGGTGTGTGATGTGTTGATAATTGTTAGTTTACTGTTAGTCTGTAGGTAGTGTTGATACTGACGTCGCTCTGATGTCACTTTTAATTTTCTCGTTTTTTTTATCCGCTGACACTGCCTGCTCTCCTCGCCCCGCCCTTCGCTCTCGTGCCGCTGACTAGCTGACTCATATAGTGGGTTAGTAGCGAAGGGTTTGTTTATAGCGGATTCCTCGGAAAAAGTGAAGACACACTTTTCGAATGGCCCAGGCAATGGGTGATGACGAGGCCAAGAGGGTTGTGGGTTGGGGAAATTAATATGGAGGGTGAGATTTAGGATGGAGAGGAGGGCGGAGGAGATGGGCAGGAGGAGTTCAGGTGAAGGTTGAAGTCGCCTATGATGATCAGGCGTTCAATGAAGAGGGACAGAAATGAGAGGATCCAGGAGGTTTGGGGGGGTCGGTTGACTAGAAGAATTTTGAGGTAGAGGGATGGTACAGGGTGAGGTGCTCAAATTAGGGGTATCAGCCAGAGGAGTAGGGGGATAGACCAAGGAAGGTTTGGGAGATGCGGGCCACCCCACCACCGCGACGGTTGGGGCAGTGGTGGGGGTGTGTGTGTGGAAAGTGTGGAAAGGGGGTGAGGCTTTCATGAGGCGGACAGGGTCATCATGGGTTATGCTCATCAACCTATTCAGGTTGAATAGTTCTTTTCAAAGAGCCGGCACAGACTCGATGGGCCGAATGGCCTCCTTCTGTGCTGTATAATTCTATGATTCTATGATAGGTTGCCTTCTGAAGGTAGGGGAAGATCTTGCGGAGAGAGTGGGCGATTGGGTAGTCGAGATGGCTGTGCTGGGACAATCTTCGACATGTGCCACAATAAGGATGCCCAGGCTAGAGCAGAGGGAAGCAGTGGAAGAGTCTAGGAGAGACAGAAGGCGAGGAGGGCAGTGGGAGAGAGGACAGAGTTCGCGTCGTGGAGGGTGATTAGAAATGGCGCCATTTTGAGTGGGGGTTAGCTCAGATTAGGATGGCAACTAAAATGCAAGACCTGGAGCGAGCGATCAACGAGGCATGGAGAGGGCTGGAGGAAACAGCACCGGGAGGAGAGAGAGGGGATAGTATTCTAGTCTTGTTTGTTAGGTTAGACAGAGCACTTCTCTTCGACCTTGCCTTCAGCTCCCCTCTCGACTCTCTACCCCCTCCTCGCTCCCTCCCTTCACCCTGACCATTTCCCCCCTTCTCGGGTCCCGACCCAACTGTCCAGCGCCTTGGGACGTCCTCCCGACATGAAAGGCACTCTATAAATGAAATCTTGTTGTTGTATTTGTTATTATCACAACATTTGTATTTCACATCATAAATATGTCCCAAGGCGCTTAAATAATAGTCATTGCATTTGATTTAGCACCTTATCATGTCATTGATACGTGTCAAAGCGCTTCACAGAATATACTGTAAAGTGAATTGACTGTATATTTTGTGGGCGAAACGCAGCAGCCAATTGCACACAGCAGTGTCCCACAAACGGTCGTGAATTGAGTGACCAAATTATTATTATTATTTTTTCAAAATGATTATTACCCTAGGAAAAGCGATACTCCAATCGTCTAACAACCGGGTTCTTATGTACTGCTAGGTAAACAGAGGCATGTTGAGTGAGGAAATTTGCCTAAGGTTTCACCACGCCCGGGAATCGAACCCGGGTCCTCGCACTTGCGAGGTGAGTGTTCTAACCGATGTGCTATAGGACTCCACAAAATAGAGCATATGTTATTGTCCTAAAAGTTTACATTTGTTAAAAATATGGCTCACTTTTTACCTTTCAACACTATATAATCTTGGAAATTTTATTCAAATCATTAAATATCTCCACACGTAATGAGCTGTCCATCATGTCTGGGACTTTAAGATCATTGATTAACAGAAGACAATTAATGTTGTCTATTGGAAGCTATTGCTGCTTATTATTGCCAAATAAAATAATTTAAACCTACCTGCATTGTCCCCTGTGAAAGCAACAATTTTACAATCTGGATTAAATCCATAGCGTTCGATAAGGTAAGGAGAAATTGTGCCCTAAACAAAAGCAGAAGGCAATTTAAGAAATGAAAAGGTTAATTGGTGTTGCTAATCAACGCAATACACGTTTTATATGGATAACCCAGTGTCTGGCACGTGCAGAAAACAAACACCATTCCTGAGTATCTAAACCAGACAAGGGTTCTATATATGCATGGTACCAGGTTACATGTTTGGCAACGGAATATCTGAATCGAGCCAGCGGTTCTTTGGCAATCTTGGTAGTCTGGTTCCTGAGCCAGGCGAGTCTGTAGTAGTCCAGGGTACTGCTGGTGAAAGCACAGCCAGCCTGGCAAGACTTAGAAGGGCAGACTAGTCATTGGGGGCAGAGAATAATCCCACTCAGCTCCTGTTGACTCTGCAAACCAAAACCCAAATAAGTAGGGTGGTTTTAGCTGGTCAAGCAGCGGAAAGCTTGCCATACAGTTATATAAATGGCAACCTATGTCGTTTTAGCTGGTTAGACTCCAGCAGTACCCTAACGCACACTCTGGGTTCCCCGAGCCTAGGCTCTTGTCAAACTGCGCCTAATAGTTTCCGGAATCAGGTAAGTAGGATGTGTCCCTCCAAGGAGAGTGTGCATTCCATTCCAACAATCTATCTCTGGGATTTCTATGTGCAGGTGGGATACATGGAAATCTTAGCTTGGTTTGGATACTCTGAAGCATGGTGATGCATTTTTGCATAAAAACACAGGGTCTTCAGATGGGACTTGAAGGAGGCAAGAGAGGGAGTGAAGCGGAGGGATTGCGGGTAGAGTTCCAGAGTGTGGGGGCAGAGATGCTGAATGTCCGACCGCCAAGGGTGGGGCGGGAAGTGCGGGGGACCTGAAATAGGTTGGGGTCCGCCAAGCAGAGGGAGCAGACAGTCTAATATGGAGTTAGGAGGTTGGGGGGAGGGGAGCAAGATCGTGGAGGGCTTTGAAGGTGAAAACAAGGGTTTTGTACTTGATTCTCTGAGGAATGGGGAGCCAGTGAAGCCGGGCAAGAACAGGGGTGACAGGTTCCCATAGCCTGGTGCGGGAGAGGACACAAGCTGCAGAGTTCTGAATAATCTGCAGATTGTGGAAGGAAGAGTTGGGAAATCCAATGAACAGGCAGTGGCGTAGTCAAGCCGGGACGTAATGAAAGCGTGGATCAGTCTCGGAGTCCTGCGGTGAGAGGCAGTGGCAGAGGCAGGCAATGTTGTGGAGGTGTGGAAAGACGGAATGGGTCATGGCACGAATGTGGAATTGAAGGATAGCTGACGGTCGAAAAGGACTCTGAGGTTTCGGATTGGCTCGGTGAGGTGAAGTGTGTATGAATGGTGGTAGCGTCAGCGGCTGAGGTGAAGAGGCGTTGCCGGGAGTCAAGCAGGAGGGTCTCTGTCTTGCCAACATTGACTTGATGTCAGACAGACAATTAGCCAGGATATCAATGGTCCTGGAGTCAAGGTTGGAGGCAGTGAGATAGTTGAGTATCATCCGCACGGTCCCATGTGGAAATTGACCTGGGGATAACATCGCCGAGCGGGAGCATGTATAGATTGAAGAGGGGGCCGAGGACAGAGCCATACATTCTGAAGGACGCCATTCGTGACAGTGCGGGGACTAGAGGAATAGCAATCGGTGGCCATGAAGTGCAGACAGTGGGAAAGATAGGGTTGGAACCAGACAGGAACAGAACCACTGAGGTGGAGGTGAGAGGAGAGGCGGTGAAGAAGAGTGGTCAACAGTATCGAAAGTGGCCAAGGTCAAGAAGGATGAGGAGACAGAGAGAGCCCCGGCCACAGGTGGACAGAATGTCATGTGTCACTTTGACCAGGGCTGTCTCTGTGCTGTGAGCAGTACAAAACCGAGATCGGAGGGGTTCATGGAGGGAATGCTGGGAGAGGAAAGAGCGAAGTTGGGAAGCGACGACTCGTTCCATGACCTTTGATAGAAAAGGTTTGAAATGGAGTGATAGTTGGCGAGCAGAGATGGATCAAGTTTTTTTGAGGGTAGGTTTGATGACAGCTATCTTCAGGGGATAGGTATGGTGTTAGTGGACAGTTGACAATGTCTGTTAGTAGGGGGGTAAGGAGGTGGAGCTGGGAAGTGGGGAGAGGGGTAGGGATGGGGTCAAGGAAGCAGGTGGTGGGTTTCATATGTGAAATGATGGGAGGTGAGCAAAGAGGGGGAGATAGGGTCAAAGGTGTGGAGGGAGTGATGGAAGGGGAGTGGAAGATCAGGACGGGGAGCCGGTAGAGGGGCTAGAAGCAGCAGAGCGCATCCTCTCGACTTTGGACTCGAGGAAATCCATCATCTCCTTGCATTTGGTGTTGGAGGAGAAGATGGCACAGGCATAGGAGGTTGGATGGAGGAGTTGGTTTATGGTAGAAGAGGAGTCTGGGGTTGTCCTCAGCATCCAAGACGATTTTGGAATAAAAGGATGACTTAGCGATTTGGTAATAAATACTTTGGTAAGTAATTTGGACTAACTAGAATAGAATGCACACTACACTGCCATTTTACCACCAGATTTGGGGGATTTGAAGACTGATATCCTGACATTGCATAAAACACACGTTAAGAACTTTTTAAATTAATAAAACAGCATTGGATAGAAGAAAGCAGAAATTGCTAAGAAATGTCTCAAGGAAGCCAGCACATGTCTTATGCAAGATTAGCACAGGCATCACCTTTCAGATGTATTGTAGACCCAGGAAGTGTCCTCACATCCCTACGTGAAATGGATAGACTTAATGCTACAGAGCAGAACTACATACCAGCACAGCATGAGATGGCATTGGGTTTCCAAGCTTCTCCTTAAGACCTGGTGCACAAGCATCGAGACATTTCTCTGACCAAACATGTCTACGGATGTCTAGCAGATTCATACCTGAACCTAGAGGAAAAGGAGCAAAGAGGTCAAAACAACTTGCATTCATATAATGCCCCTCACACAGGGTAGTGTCCCAGAGAGGAATATCTCCTTGCAATCGACCAATTCCTGAGCCAGGCAGGTTCGCGAGTACTCCAGGGCACTGCTGATGACAACCCAGCCAGCCTGGCTCATCGGCAGGACTTGAAAGGGCAGACCAGTCACTGGGGGTAGGGTTCTTCCCACCTAACTTCTGTTAACCCCGGAAGACAAAGCCCTGGCGGGTAGGGTGGTCCCAGCTGGAGTTTCTGGCAACAGGAAAGTTTGAAAGCCTAGTATCCCATATGCCCTTTTTACAGCTTTATCTACCTGTCCTGCCACCTCTCAATGGTAAGCTATGCAGTTGTAGCTGGTTAAACTCTAGCAGTCCCCAATGCACACTTTGGGGTCATAGAATCGTACAGCACAAAAAGAGGCCATTTGGCCCATCGAGTCTGTGCCGGCTCTTTGAAAAGAGCAATGAAATGTCAATCCCACTCCCCAGCCCTTTCCCTATAACCCTGCAAACCCGTCCTCCTCAAATACCCATCCACCGTGTTTTTAAAAGTTGTTATCGAATTGGCCTCGACCACCCTTTCAGGCAATGCGTTCCAGATTCGAACAACTCGCTGTGTGAAGAAATTTCTTCTCACCTCCCCTCTGCTTCTTTTAGATACTATTTTAAATCTGTGACCTCGAGTCACCGACACACCCACCAGTGGAAACAGTTTTTCCCTTTCTAACCCATCAAATCCGCTCATGATTTTGAAGACCTCTATTAGGTCTCCTCGTAACCTTCTCTGCTCCAATGAGAATAATCCCAGCCTCTCGTGCCTTTCCTCATAATCAAGGTCCCTCATTCCTGGTACCATCCTCGTAAATCTCCTCTGCACCCTTTCCAATGCCTTAACATCCTTCCTATAGTGTGGTGCCCAGAACTGGACGCAGTATTCCAACTGAGGCCTAACCAGTGTTTTATATGGGTTAATCATAACCTCCTGATTCTTGCACTCTATGCCCCTATTTATAAAGCCTAGTATCCCATATGCCCTTTTTACAGCTTTATCTACCTGTCCTGCCACCTTCAAGGATTCATTTACCTGAACCCCAGGTCTCTCTGTTCCTTCACCCCCCTTAAGATTGTATTAACAGTCTATATTGCCTCCCCTCATTCTTTCATCCAAAAAGCATTACCTCACATTTCTCCACATTGAAATTCATCTGCCATGTGTCTGCCCATTTTACCATTCTATGTCTTCCTGCAGTTGGCTACTATCCTTCTCACTGTTTACTGCCCTACCTAACTTTGTGTCCCCACCCTTGGCTCTTGCCAACCTGCACCTAATCCTCCATCCCATTGTGCATATTCCATTCCAATAAATATCTTGGGGAAATTCCACGTGTAGGTGGGATGCATGGAAATCTTAGTTTGGTTTGGATACTCTTATGGATGGTGATGGGCTTTCCATATGTGTCAGACATCTGACTGACAAAACAATTCATTATTGGTCTGATAAAAATTCACCCACCACAAAGGTTGGAACAGTACTGGAGCCTGTTTCAGCAGGTCACTAATTCTCATGTTCTGCACCATCATTAAGGTTTTGAGGAAGACGTTACCAGAACATTACATCACCAAGATCATTGTTTACCACTATGATCCACACTAAATATTCACAGAGCTGTATATTAAAAATGTTAAAATTCGTAAAGTGGAAGTGAGAAATAGAAAGTATGACTGTCTCATTTATTTTTTGTACAGTATAGCAATTATTTTAATGAAATGCATGCAACTAGTTCCCTGTAAACATTTTTCTTCATTCAATGGAGCAACTGACAATAATATAGGATACTGTGGAGTGGTACCAGGTCTCGGGTCACCCTCACCATCATCCCCTCCTGTCCCACCCCCTCCTGTTTTGCCAGTTCCTTAACTAAGACTGAAAAAAAGGGGTCAAAACAGAAAAACGTACCTACCTCCCACACCATAACACCATAAAAAAAATACTAACGTAAATCTGTGCACCTTTAAATAATATTAGTCCTCAAATCGTGGCTCTCAAATTATTCAGCAGTGATGCTCCATCAATACATTTAGTCGAACATGCCAGATGGCAGATTAACGCTATAAATACACACTAGAATTCCTGGTAGAACATTATCTTTCCACTCTACACAAATTACTTAAGATACACAATGACTTTTTTACATATTTTATTATGCCATTTCTCAATTTTAAGGGAAACAAATCTCTGATTTCTCAATTTTACGGCAGTCCACCTAAAAAAAAGCTTCAATCTGTTCTTCATCTCAGTCTTTTCTTTGTAACTTAATTTTTAATTCTCTTGGAAGTCCTATTAAGATAGTCTTAAAATAGAGGCAATAAAACATAGCAAAGTACAGGCACACTTGTAATTGGATGCATTCAGATGTCACACTTACCATCACTATAATCTATTGCTGCATAGGATCCAAGAAACAAAGTGGCAAGAAAACTACTGACCAAAGAAATTCTCTGCAAGTAGAGACAAAAGAGATCAGTATATATGGTCCATTAAGGATACAAACTTTTTGTCTACCAAAATGTACAAATCACTATCAATCGAGACAGATCATGTATGGAAACATGAAATCTGTCTAACTACTGTATGTCCAACTTGGACCACCCTACGCAACAACAACTTGCATTTGTATAGCACCCTTCATGCAGGGTAACGCTTCGAGTTGCTACCCATTAGTGCATTTGATTACAGGGTTGCCTGGAGTCTGACATACACAGAACCCAAACACCATGCTTATTCCGTGCATCCCACCTATGCATGATTCCATGAACTGGAAAATAAAGATACATCCTGCTTCCCTAACTCCAGAGAGTATTAGGTGCAAGCTGCCAACAGCCAAGGCTTGGGGACCCCATTAGGGCGCTGCTGGGAGTCCAAACAGCTAAAACTACATTGCTTGCCGTTAAAAGCACTGTCTGGCAAGCTTTCACTCTGCTTGTCCAGGTAAGACCACCCTACCCACTAGGGCTTTGGCTTGCAAGATTAACAAGAACTGAGTGGACAGAATCCATGCCCTCAGTGACTGGTCTGCCTCTTCCAAGTCCTACCGATGAGCCAGACTGGCTGGATCATCAGTGCACTGGAATGCTGCGGACCCACCTGCTCAGGAACGAGATTACCGATAGCGCCAGAGGGTTGACTTGATTCCGTCATTCTATTGACAAACATGTCACCTGGGAGCCAGTTCAGTTCCAAGGAGATCCTGCTTACCTCCTCAAGAAGGACGATAATCACTATTTGGTCTATTTGGACAAGTGCGAGTTTGAGCCCTCACTAAGTGAATGGCAGGTGCTTGAATCAAAGTTTGTTCGTCTATCAATATTGCAGATCTGCCTGGCTCAAGTATTGGACTAAAGTGAGTGTCAATACTATATGTTATTTCAGGCCACTGCTTTGAGATCCTGTGCAAGATTTTATTCTAATTTTACTTCAAGGAATCACCACTCTGTGTTGTGAAGTAAATTGTTCCATGCACTATATGGAATCCACATACGAAGATGCAATGCCAGCACACCATCCCTATTTACTCATGGTAGAGACAAAAGCACTATTTAATTTAGTTTATAAATCAAAACCCATTGTAGTCATTTTATTGAAAAATTTCAATGGTCTGATGATAGAAGCAAGGCAGGCTGAAAACACTTCATCCGTTTTCCATAGTCCAATTTATAAATTGAATGAATGACATTGGTCTGCATTGATGTCCTCTCCTACACTAGGCCCAACAACAACAATAAGATTACATTTGTACAGCATCTTTCACGTTGGGAGGACGTCCCAAGGCGCTGGACAGCGTACAGCATTTCAACATACATATTACGCATAAGATTCCAACCACCTCAGCAGACTGGCTTTCAGCTCTTAGTCCTTACCTACAATCCCTATATGATGAACCTTGTCCCATCTATGTAATCTCTTCCAGTTTCATATCCCTGCCTATACACTTCATTCTTTTCATATACAAATTACATTTGTATAGCGCCTTTCAGGTCGGGAGGACGCCCCGAGATGCTGGACAGTCAGGAATTTGGATCCAAGCAGGGGGGTTGGTATCAGGGATGGTGGAGGGCAGGGAGGGTGGCTGAAGGCACGGTCAAAGAGGGTCTTGAGGCGTGCCTTGAGGGAGACAAAAGGAATGTGGGATGGGGTTCCAAAGGATGGGGGCAGAGAAGCTGAAGGCCCGATCACCGATGGTGGGGAGGGCCGGGCGGGGGACGTGGAGCAGATGTGGATGTGGAAGCAGACAGGTTGATATTGAGTTACCAGTCAGAGGTTGGAAGGAGCATGGTCGTAGAGGGCTTTGAAGGTAGAGCCGGGCGATGTTGCGGAATTGGGGGAAGGCAGAGTGGGTTAAGGCACGGATGTGGGGTAGAAAGGACAGCTGAGGGTCAAACAAGATGCCAAAGTTCCAGACTGGCTCAGTGAGGCGAAATGTGATGCTGCCAGTGCCTGAGGTGTGGAGGCGCTGATGGGATTGCTAGTCAGAAATCTGGGGGAAACTCCCTGCATCAGGAGGGCCTCAGTCTTGTTGATGTTCAACTGTAGAGAGATGGCAAGTATGCCTGCAAATACGCAATCACTCCACTTTACAGTACAATCCTGTGAAGCTCTTTTGAGATGTGAAAGGTGCGATATCAAATACAACGATTATTATCATCTACATATACTAATATAACCACTATTAACTAGGTGACTCAGTGGAATAAAGTTGTGAAGCATTAATTAGGCACTTCAGGCAGTGCTGACGACTGGAGCCAGCTGGGAAATTACTATATGACATCAACCATCTGGACTGTATATAAGGTCTTAGTGGAAGATGGCACAATACTGTGGGAGGTTGTTTAAAAAAGAGAAAATTGGGCATTCTTGGGTGTAGCTGGTGCATGTTATACTGCGTTTGCCTGCAGAGGCAAGTCCACTTACTCCAGTAACCCATAATGAAATGAAGGGAGTTTCCTCCAAATTTCGGACGAGCAATCCTCCAGAAAATTGGTCATTCACTTCATGGCTGTTTGTGAGAGTCTGCTGTGTGCAAATTGGCTGCTGTGTTTGACTACAAAAATACAGTCACTAAACTTAATAATAATTTCTGTTGTGCCAGTTTTACATACTGCAATTCAGATTTATAATCTGGACATTGTAAACACTATACCTCAGTATCCTTGTACTGTTGAGGGTATTTCTTGTAGATCTTTGCAATTTGGTTTCCTGTGAAACGCTGTGAAGTGAGCAAACATACAGAACTTTTAAAAACTGACCTTTTAAAATTCTCCAAATATTATTCTCTCAAGACCAGATTTCAGTTATTAATCGTAAATGTGGTTGTATCCCCCATGTCTAAAAACAGTTATAGTAATATGCTGTTTTAATAGGTTCAAAATGAAATGTGGATCAATCTCAAAACTATTTGCAGTTTTCCCAGCCAATTGATAATTAACAATTTTAGACCATTACAAAGTTACATGACAGTTACCATTGTAATATATTGAAGACTGTAGCAAGTCAGATTAAGAACATAAGAATTAGGAGCCGGAGTAGGCCATTCGGCCCCTCGAGCCTGCCCCGCCATTCGATAAGATCATGGCTGATTTTCTGACCTAACTCTAATTACCTGCCCTATCCCCATATCCCCTAATCCCTCTATTTTTAAAAAATCTATCAATCTCAGCCTTGAAAATGTTCAAGGATTGAGCATCTACAGCCTTCTGAGTGAAGAAATGTTTCCTCAACTCTGTTCTAAAAGGCTGACCCTTAATTTTAAGACTGTGACCCCTGGTTATAGATTCTCCTACCAGGGGAAACAGTCCCTCAGTGTCTACTTTATCAGCCCTTTAAGAATCTTATATGTTTCAATAAGATCTCCTCTAATTCTTCTGTACTCTAGAGAATATAGCCCTAGTTTATTTAGCCTATCCTCATAGGTCAGTCCCCTCATCCCAGGAACTAACCGAGTGAATCTACGCTGCACCCCCTCTAAGGCAAGTATGTCCTTTTTTAAATAAGGAGACCAAAACTGCACACAATACTCTTGGTGCGGTCTCACCAAGGCCCTATACAGTTGCAGCAAGACTTCCCTACTCTTGTACCCTAAACCTTTTGCAATGAACGCTAACATGCCGTTCGCCTTCTTAGTTGCTTGCTGCACCTGCAAACTAACTTTTTGAGACTGGTGTACAAGGACACCCAAATCCCTCTGAACACTAACACTATCTAATCTCTTCCCCTCTAGAAAATAATCTGTATTTCTATTTTTTCTACCTAGGTGAATAACTTCACACTTCCCCACATTAAATTCCATCTGCCACCTACTCGCCCACTCCCCTAGCCTATCTATATCCCGTTTGCATCATCCTCAGAGCTTACTCTCCCAACCTAGTTTAGTGTCATCCACGAATTTAGATACGTTACATTCAATGTCCTCGTCTAGATCATTGATGTAACTTGTAAATAGCTGAGGCCCAAGCACTGATCCTTGTGGCACTCCACTAGTCACATCCTGCCAATTCGAGAATGACCTGTTTATCCCTACTCTCTGTTTTCTACCCATTAGCCACTTTTCAATCCATGCTAATATGTTCCCATTAATCCCGTGGGCCTTAACCTTGTGCCTTTTGTGTGGCGCTTTATCAAATGCCTTCTTAAAATCTAAATATACTACATCTACTGTTCCCCCCTATGTAACCTGTTAGATACATCTTCAAAAAACTCTAAAAGATTAGTTAAGCATGACTTCCCTTTTGTAAAGCCATGTTGACTCTGCCTAATCTTGTTATGGTCTTCCAGGAATCCCATAACGACATCCTTAATTAAGGACTCAAGAATTTTCCCGACCACTGATGCCAGACTAACTGGTCTACAGTTCCCCATCTTTTCTCTCCCACCCTTCTTAAATAGTGGAGTTATGTTTGCAATCTTCCAATCGATGGGAACCGTTCCAGAATCCAGAGAATTTTGGAAGATCAAAGACAAGCCATCCACTATCTCAGTAGCCACCTCTTTTAAAACCCTAGGAAGTAGGCCATCAGCTTCAGGGGATTTATCAGTTTTAAGACCTGACAATTTACCTAAAACCATTTCTTTACTAGTATTAATTTCCCCAAGTTGCTCGCTAACATTATCTTCTTGGTTCCCCTCTATTCTTGGTAGGTTTTCAGTGTCTTCTAAGGTGAAGACAGTAGCAAAGTACTTGTTTAATGACTCTGCTATGTCTTTGTCCCCTACTATAATTCCCCCCGTCTCTGCCTCTAACGGACCCACATTTACCTTTGACAGCCTCTTCCTCTTTATATATCTATAAAAGCTCTTGCAGACTGTCTTTATGTTCCTCGCTAGTTTGCCCTCATATTCCATTTTCTCCCTCTTAATCACTTTTTTTGGTTCTCCTTTTTTGATCCCTAAAGTTCTCCCAATCCTCGGGTTTACTACTCATTTTAGCTGTTTTATAGGCTTCTTCCTTTAACTTTATACTTTCCCTAACTGCTCTAGTTAGCCACGGTTGGGCCACCTTTCCCGTGGCATTCTTATTCCTCAAAGGAATACGTGCTCACTGGGAATTTTGAACTATCTCCTTAAATGTCTGCCATTGTTGGTCTACTGTCAAATCCTTAAGTCTAATTTCCCAGTTTATTTTAGCTAAATCCTCTCTCATACCAGCAAAGTTGGCTCCACTTAAATTTAAGACCTTTGCTTCGGACTTAACTACTTCTCTCTCTAACTTAATGCTAAATTCCATCATATTATGATCACTTTGCCCTGGAGGAACCTTAAGTTCCAGTTCAAGAAACAGTTTAACCTTTCAGCATTTTGTTCTAAAATACACTAAAGAATCTAAATATTTAAATCAAATCTTTATGCACCATCTCTTAAAGACTTGCAATTTTTTTCATTTTCACATACAAAGTGGCACACTTCAATGTGATGGTAAGATGCAAGCCAAGCCCCTTTTAACATTGTTGGTTCCTCTGTATTATGCCTTGGTCCTTCAGCTAGGTTTCTTCATTTTGAAAAATATTGTCTGAAATTATATGACATGTTTATTGTTGCTTCACATCCTGTAGACATGATGAGCAATAAGTGAACTAACCCTCATTCTCTTTCAACTTCCCTCTTGGAAACTCTCAACCATAATAATAATCCTTGCATTTGATACAGAGCCTTATCACGTCTTCACAGAATATACTGTAAAGTAAATTGACTGCATATTTGTGGGTGAAACGCAGCAGCCATTTGCGCACAGCAGCGTCCCACGAACAGTCATGGATTGAAGTGACCAATTTATTAGTTTTTTTTCTTAAGTTTTTTTTCAGGCGTGTGGAGTAAAGGAACTTGCCCAAGGTTTTGCCCTGTCGGGAATCGAACCCAGGTCTCTCGCTTGCGAGGCGAGTGCTCTAACTACTGAGCCATAGGACTCTACCATATAGTAAATCGCTTCAAATTGTAATTCCTACATGCAGTAACCTTTCATTTGCATTGAATTTGATTTATCAGTAATCAGAATAGGTGCATTTGTGTCGATTTCTCTTTTCAAGACCTTGGGTGCCTCCTTTGATTTCACAATTCAACCTACATCTGTAAAATTTATTACCTTGCACTGACTGCTCTATTTAGTTCTAATGGTCCCAGCGTGGACTTTCCGACACCCCACTGAATACTTCCTACCATTTTAACCTCACTCTACTACCAGTTACTCTGTTTCCTTTCTTCAAAAAATTTACTACACATCTTATGTGTTTGTTTGGAAAATACTCATTTGGAAGGCGATATGATTTCCCACTGCCAAATGGAAATGTCAAAAAATGTCTGAGGTTGGTCAAACATGATCTACAACTTCTGAAGTTATGTTCACAAGTACATCACTGAATATGGAACATCGCCAATATTGATTGACTATCAAACTGTTTGTCAGAGCTTCACAATTCTCCTTCCTTTTCTCCATATGTACCCCAGTGCATAGTTCATCTGTACTAGAAAAATTAGTGTTTTTCAGTTCTTTTAACCTAAACATTTGCACGATTTTGCTTTCTCTAATGTACAGGGAATGCAAACCTCATAAGCTCGTGAACCAGTGATTTCAGCAAGTCGTTCTGGTCCTCCAATAGCCTTTTCCAAATTTTGACACTCCGATGACGTGCTGGAATCCATCCAGATAGGAGAGTCTTTTACAGAAAAACTTGACTAAATTGAAAGAGGAATAAAACATGAATTGATTTTACCTTTGTTAGATGTAAATCTTGATTTGTGATTTTCTACACCGTCATTTGGAGGGAAGTATACAGTGTGCGTATTAGGTCCACTGTTATTTTCGATATATGTGAATGACTTGGACTTGGGTATAAAGAGCAATATTTTAAAGTTTTGCAGATGACACAAAACTTAGTAAACAGTGAGGAGGATGGTAGCAGACTGCAGGAAGACATGACAGAACTGGTGAAATGAGCAGACACATGGCAGATGACGTTTAATGCAGGGAAGTATGAGGTGATGCATTTTGGTAGGAAGAATGAAGTGAGGCAATATACAATAAAAGGTACAGTTTTAAAGCGGGTTCAGGAGCAGAGAGACCTGAGGGTTCACAAACAGGTCTTTGAAGGTGGCTGTTAAAAAAAAGCATATGGGATCCTTGGCTTTATTAATAGAGGCAAAGAGTTTATTCCTTTTGTAGCTAAACGTACCTCAAGTATGTAATGGAGATAACGATTCGCTGGCATATTTTTCATAGTGTCACTGGCTCCATCTTTCCAGTACACACTGCCATGTTGCTGAGAAAACAATGATTTAGACTTTTTTTTTAAAAAAGAAAAAAGGAACTATAAATATAATGAATAATGAATTTACATCACTTACTTGGGCACTGCCAGACAAGGATTGTACTTTAGTAAAATCAAATTTTGAGTTCTTCATCTTTTCTAGGACCAGATCGAATGCCTGAAAATACAGAAACAGATCATAAGCCTAATGGGACGTATGGATTTATCCTTTAAAAGAGAGCTTACGTTTGATGTCAAATCTTTGATTGTTTTTTACAATCACACCAAATTGGTTATTGCTGCTTAATAAAATTGCCACAAAAATACCCCACAAACACCATAAGTTGCAATTGTACAACACCTTTTACAAAGATACCTTAAATCATGGGGGTCCAACAGTTTGGCTGCTGAGGGCCGGATGCTCTATTTGAAAAACTTCTGCGGACCGCATAAGCAACATTTGTGTGTTTCCCTTCCAGAAACGCAACATAACTAGCCCAAATGGCTGCCAGTTGACCCCACCCTGACTTAAACTATTGGAGAGCCCAAGAAGGAAAAAGGGAGATTTAAAGATGATGACCAAAGTGTCAAACAATATTTTTTAAAGGCAGGGAGAGAGGAAGTAAGTCAAAAAGGAGTTTAGGAGTCCTGTAGCTCAGTAGGAGTCCTGTAGCTCAGTGGTTAGAGCACTCGCCTCGCAAGTGAGAGACCTGGGTTCGATTGACGGCAGGGCGAAACCTTAAATTTCCTTACTCCAACACGCCTGATAATAATCCCTCAAGAAAAAAAACAATAATATAATTGGGCATTTCAATCCACAATTGCTTGTGGGAAACTGCTGTTCGCAATTGGCTGCCGCGTTTCACCCACAAATATAGTCAATTCACTTCACAGTATATTCTGTGAAGGGCTTTGAGACGTCTAGAAAACATGAAAACGCTATATCAAATGCAACGATTATTATATTATTATAAAAAGGTTTGGCAAAGTTCAGAAGACAGGTTCAGCCACCAATGATAGGATAGGAGTATACAACAAACAAATCAAAATTATTTGGTATGGAAACGACAAAAGCATTGATGAGAATTTCAGTAAGTACGTGAAACTGGGCTGAAGCAGTTAATGCTCCAGAGGTGAAGAAAAGCAATCTTAGTCAAGACCAAGAATATACTGTTTGAAACAGAGCTTCTGAAATAAATGCTGCAGGTTTTACAATAGCAACAACTAGCATTTATATAGCACCCTTCACGCACTGCAGCATCCTGGAGCGCTTGACAGAGGCGGAGTCTGACCCCCAGCCAAGGGGAGTGGGAAGGTAACTGTAAGCACGATCAAAAAAGGTCTTTAGGTGGGATTTGAAAGTGGGGAGGGAAGGGGCAAGGCAGAGGGATTGAAGGGAACGAGTTCCAGAGATTCGGAGTGTAGTGGCTGAAAGCACGGGAGCCAATGGTGGAGAGGGGGGGTGGGGGAAAGGAACAAACAGGAGGCTGGAGCCGGCTGAGCGGAGACAGTAGGTGGTAGAGTGAGAGGTAAGCAAATCACATAGGTTGGGAGGTAAGCAAATCACATAGGTAGGGAGGTGTGAGGGCACAAAGGGGTTTGAAACCAAGGATCTTGAAGTCAATCCATTCAGTAATTGAAAGCCAATGCAGCCTGGCAAGGACTGGTGTGATGGGATTTGTTTTATGCTGTGGTTTAGTATCCGGGCAGCAAAGTTCTTAATTAATTGAGTTTTGTGTATGGTGGATGGAGGGCATTTGAAAAGTCCAGCCGGGAAGTGACAAAGGCGTCGACAAGGGTTTCGGCTGCTGTGGGTGTGAGGTACGGATGGTGGCTGACAATGTGGAAAAAAGCAGTCCTGGTCAGGGAATGAATGTGGGAGAAAAAGGAAATCTGGGGATTGAACCTGATGCCTAAATTAAGCACGGGTTCAGTGAGTCTGAGGGAGAGCCTGGGGAGGTTGAGGAGTTCGGACCCACAGGAAAGAAGGTGTTGACGTGTATGGATTTCGTCTTGCCGACGTTCAGCTGCAGGAAATTTGCACTCTTCCAGACAAGCTGACAAGACGTCAGCGGACTGGGAGTCACAGCTGGAGAAGGTGAAGTAGATTTGGGTGTCACACTTAGACACACACTCAGAGAGACACACACACTCACAGAGAGACATACAGAGGATACACACATTCGCATAGACACTCATAAACACACATAGAAGAGACACACAGACACACTCACAAACATACACACATACAGAGGAGATACACTGACATAGACACGAACAAACACACACACACACACAGAGACACACTCACGTAGACATACAGCGGAAAGAGACTCATTCACATAGTCACTAACAAACACACAACACACATACAGAGGAGCGACTCACAAACACAGAGACTCACGCTGACACTCACAAACATAGTGAGAGACACTCACAAACAAAGAGGCACACGGACACTCACAAACACTCACATTCATAAACAAACACACACAGACTTACAAACACACAGAAAGACACAGAGAGATACAGACACTCACAAACACTGAGAGAGACACACACTCACAAACGCAGAGAGACACACACTCACAAACGCAGAGAGACACACACTCACAAACACAGAGACAGATACACACAAACACGTATAGAGACAAACTCACACAGACAATCACGTCAGAGTGGAGTGAAGCCCATTTGCTGCTTGCGCCGTACCGCACATGCACGTCCGGACTCACCCATCCCACAGTGATGTCATGTAAACAGTGCTGAGGCCCGCAGGCCAGAAACTATATTTATAGCGGGTTTGTAGCGGATGGGAGCGTTTGTAGCAGGTATCGCGGAAGCACTGTGGCCGCACTTCTCTATTGGCTCAGGTTATGACTATGTCGAGGGGTGGTCACAGTTGTAGGTCGGGGAGTTTACATGGAGTGTGAGACTTAAGAGAAGAGGGCAGCAAAGACAGAGGAGCTAGGGCAAGGGGAGTTTAGATGGATAATGAAATCGCCCTTTATGAGCAGGTCTTTGTGCAGAGGGTCAAGGATGAGAGGAGAGGTGAGAAAAGAGCAAGGAGGTTTTGAGGGGCGATAAACGAGAAGGATTTTTGAAGGAGAGAGGAAGGATGGTGGAGGGTGAGGTGCTCAAAAGAAGGGAAACAGCCAGAGGAATAGGGGGATAGACTAAAGGAGGTTTTGGAGATGAGGGCCACCCTATAGCCGCGTTAGTTGGGGGGGCGAAATGTAACCAGGTGTGGAGGCTTCGACAAGGGGGACAGGGTCACCAGGGGACAGCCAGATTTCCGTGAGCCGAAGAACGTCGAATTGCTTGTCCAAGATGAACTTGTGGATTGCAAGACCTTTATTAGAGAGAAAGCAGACATTTTGGAAGCCGTTGCGAATGGGAGCATAGGCGCAGGAGCGTTGGGGTGTAATTGTGGATATTGGGGGCAAACAGCTGTCGAGAGTGTGGGGAAAGAGTTGGGAAGCATGTGGATCAGAGTAGAGGGGAGGATGGCCTTGCAGAGTAGGTGGGGGATGTGGCAGTCGGTGTGGCTGCTCTGGAACAACCATCGCCCAGGTTTTGTGGTTATCCTGGCGGAGGATACTCAGGCTAGAGCAGAGGGAGGCCATGGGAAGGTCCAGTAGGTAGAGAAGATGAGGAGGGCAGTACAAGAGGAGGACTGAGTGGGAGTAACGAAGGGTGGAGAGTAGGAGCGGGGTCAAACGTGCATGCCAAGACTGGGAGCAAAGTGGAATTCTACTACAGTGCAATCCGTTTTAGGCGGACGCCGGTTAACCCATCACGTAAATCAAACAAAACGCCCGGCCCCAATTCATTTGTGTTCTTACCCGTTTTAAATATGCCGGCTGATTTGGACAAAAATCTGGTTTATACGGGCAAAATGCTCCGCTGGTCGCCACTGTGTCAAGTGGCTCCATTCAGCCACGAGGAACTCCACGATGGAGATCCTCAATTTGGGAATCTCACTGTGCATGATACATATTCTTTAAATCCAAATCATTTAATTCATAATATTGCAAAACATACCTTTACCCACATCAGGACTGGTGCTGTAACAGTCAGCTTGTCACTTTGGATCTCTGCACCCCCTGAAGTCCTATAAAGAAAATAAAAATAGAAATCTTACAGTTAACATTAAAGCACTCAAATATCAACATAATTTAATCATCACAAATTTCCAGTTTTGACAAATGGGGAGAGTGGGCAAGAGAGAGGGGTGTAGGCGAAAAAGAGGAGGGTGGGTGGGAGAGAGGGAGGTGGGCGGTAGAAGAGGGGGGGGCGAGGGAGAGGGGGGGCGAGATAGGAGGGGGGGGCGAGAGAGGAGGGGGGGCGAGAGGAGGCGGAGGGGGGGGCGAGAGGGGAGGGGGGGGCGAGGGGGGGCGAGGGGGGGAGGGCGAGGGGGGGGGCGAGGGGGGGGGGGCGCGAGGGGGGGGGGGCGCGAGGGGGGGGGGGGCGCGAGGGGGGGGGCGCGAGGGGGGGGGCGCGAGGGGGGGGCGAGGGGGGGGGCGAGGGGGGGGGCGCGAGGGGGGGGGGCGCGAGGGGGGGGGCGCGAGGGGGGGGGGGGCGAGGGGGGGGGGCGCGAGGGGGGGGGGGGGCGAGGGGGGGGCGGAGGGGGGGGCGAGAGGGGGGCGAGAGGGGGGGGGCGAGAGGGGGGGGGCGAGAGGGGGGGGGGCGAGAGGGGGGGGCGAGAGGGGGGGGGCGAGAGGGGGGGGCGAGAGGGGGGGGGGGCGAGAGGGGGGGGGGCGAGAGGGGGGGCGAGAGGGGGGGGCGAGAGGGGGGGGCGAGAAGGGGGGGGCGCGAGAGAGAAGGGGGGGCGCGAGAGAGAAGGGGGGGGCGCGAGAGAGAAGGGGGGGGCGCGAGAGAGAAGGGGGGGCGCGAGAGAGAAGGGGGGGGCGCGAGAGAGAAGGGGGGGGCGAGAGAGAAGGGGGGGGCGAGAGAGAAGGGGGGGCGCGAGAGAGAGGGGGGGGCGAGGGAGAGGGGGGCGAGGGAGAGGGGGGGGCGAGGGAGAGGGGGGGGCGAGGGAGAGGGGGGGGCGAGAGGGGGGGGCGAGAGAGACGGGGGGCGCGAGAGAGACGGGGGGGCGCGAGAGAGACGGGGGGGCGCGAGAGAGACGGGGGGGGCGCGAGAGAGACGGGGGGGCGCGAGAGGGGGGGGGCGCGAGAGGGGGGGGCGCGAGGGGGGGGGCGCGAGGGGGGGGGCGCGAGAGGGGGGGGGTCGCGAGAGGGGGGGGGTCGCGAGAGGGGGGGGGTCGCGAGAGGGGGGGGTCGCGAGGGGGGGTCGCGAGGGGGGGGGTCGCGAGGGGGGGGTCGCGAGAGGGGGGGGTCGCGAGAGGGGGGGGTCGCGAGAGGGGGGGTCGCGAGAGGGGGGGTCGCGAGAGGGGGGTCGCGAGGGGGGGGGGGGCGAGGGAGTGGGGGGGGCGAGGGAGTGGGGGGGGCGAGGGAGTGGGGGGGCGAGGGAGTGGGGGGGCGAGGGAGTGGGGGGGGCGAGGGAGTGGGGGGGGCGAGGGAGTGGTGGGGGGCGAGGGAGTGGTGGGGGGCGAGGGAGTGGTGGGGGGCGAGGGAGTGGTGGGGGGGCGAGGGAGTGGTGGGGGGCGAGGAGTGGTGGGGGGCGAGGGAGTGGTGGGGGGGCGAGGGAGTGGGGGGGGCGAGGGAGGGGGGGGGCGAGGGGAGGGGGGCGAGGGAGGGGGGGGGCGAGGGGGGGGGCGAGGGAGGGGGGCGAGGGAGGGGGGGGCGAGGGAGGGGGGGGGCGAGGGAGGGGGGGGCGAGGGAGGGGGGGGCGAGGGAGGGGGGGGGGGGGGGGGGGGCGAGGGAGGGGGGGGCGAGGGAGGGGGGGGGCGAGGGAGGGGGGGGGCGAGGGAGGGGGGGGCGAGGGAGGGGGGGGCGAGGGGGGGGGGGGAGGGGGGGGGGGGAGGGGGGGAGGGGGAGGGGGGGCGAGGGGGAGGGGGGGGCGAGGGAGAGGGGGGCGAGGGAGAGGGGGGGCGAGGGAGAGGGGGGGCGAGGGAGGAGGGGGGGGCGAGGGAGAGGGGGGGGCGAGGGAGAGGGGGGGCGAGGGAGGGGGGGGGGCGAGGGAGGGGGGGGCGAGGGAGGGGGGGAGGGGGAGGGGGGGGGAGGGGAGGGGGGGCGAGGGGGAGGGGGGGGCGAGGGAGAGGGGGGGCGAGGGAGAGGGGGGGCGAGGGAGAGGGGGGGCGAGGGAGAGGGGGGGCGAGGGAGAGGGGGGGCGAGGGAGAGGGGGGGCGAGGGAGAGGGGGGGGCGAGGGAGAGGGGGGGCGAGGGAGAGGGGGGGCGAGGGAGGGGGGGGCGAGGGAGAGGGAGATAGAGGTGAGAGAGAGAGGGCAAAGAGAGTTTTGAATAATCTGCAACTTGTGAAGGACAGATTTGGGAAATCCAGCGAGCAGGCAGTCGGCGTTGTCAACCAGTTAACTCTGCCTCTGTGACCTGCTTAGTGGGCTCGGGCATTCCACGTCTCTCGCTCGCGAGGCGAGTGCTCTATCTTCTGAGCTACAGGATTCTGTTTTGAAAGCAGAAGGAGAATCCAAAACCACCAGATTGAGGAAGAGTTCCAGAGAGCAGGAGCAAAGTGTCTGAAGGCTCACCCACCAACAGTGGGGCAAAGGGAGCCAGGAATGTAGAACAGAAAAGCAGAGGGAGTGGCTTTCACTCGATTTCACTGTCTTCTCAGGCATCACAGAGAAATAAACAAATCACTGACAGCACAAATGTTTCAGGTGGTTGGTTATCAATTCTTTCAAAATCATCTTTTCCCTGGCTTACCTGTTACAGAAGGAAAGTTTTAATCTGTTTCTTACCCAAATTCTGACAAATCCTCATCAAAGCTCATCTTGAACTCTGAGATTACCTTCAGTTCATCATCAATAGCCGTAACTTTTAGCTGAAAGAAAATAATTTGTTTAGTCAATGAAAAAATAATCATATTGTAATGTTTTGTGTCCATAGAATGTAATAAAAATTGAGGGGCCTTATTTTTTATACAGTAATACAGTATTCAATCAAAATGTTTCAAAACATTTCACAAGTTATTACAGTACTGTTAAGTATAGACTGTTTTTGAAGGCAAATGTTGTAGTTATTTGCACTAGATAAATCCTACATATAGCCTTGAGGTGAATGCCTGGAAAGGTTATTGGCTAAGTCAATACAAAACAATTCGAAGTGATTAGGCCCTTCATTCTATTCTACCAAAACTGACAGGCGAAACATAAATCCAGGAAAATTAAATGCATCTGTCTAATCAGGCTTTATTTGCATTTTGCCAACTTTTGGAAATTGCTGTCCTGTAAAGGTCTTCCCACGCGCTGAAGGCAAAAGTCCGCCAGATAGCCATTCAGGAAATTCTGAGGATTGGGACAACAGTTGGTGGAAGGTGTTACCTGGAGTCTGAGTTCGGCAACACGTTCGTATATCCAGCGCCAGGAATCCACTTACATTGGCTTGCAGAGAGGCAAGCAGCCCCTGCTTAAACTCCGTACCTCCAACTGGTGGAAACACTCAACGCAAAGGGGCATGTGTCTGAACTGTGGACAGGAAGATTGTGGCAATGCTCTCACGCATATAATACTGAGGTGCGTTGCTCACCGGAAAACTCACAGGGAGTTCCTGGTACCTGCCACCTACCTAGTGAGAGCTCAAGCCCACAGTTGTCAGATATCAAATGACCAACTAGTGACTATCCTCCTGGGTGGGGGAAGGTAAAAGGGGTATTCTTGGAGTTGAAATGGCCACAAGGTGACATGGTTGGCAACAGAATGTCGGAATCGAGCCCACCCCCTCCGTGGCAGCCTCGGTTGTCCAGTTCCTGAGACAGGCAGGTCCGCAGTACTCCAGGGAACTACTGATGAAAGCACACCAAGGCTGGCTCATCGGCAGGACTTGGAAAGGTAGACCAACAACAACAACTTGGATTTATATAGCGCTTCAAAGCGCTTCACAGTAATGGATCCCGGGGCCGAGCCAGGGGGAGGAGGAGGAAGGTGACCAAAGGCACTGGGGGCAGAGAATCCTCTCACTCAGCCCTTGTTAACCCAGTAAGCCAAAGCCGTATTGGGTAGGATGGTCCTCGCTGGACAAGCAGCGATAAAGCTTGTAGTTAGACTCCAGCAGTACCCCAATGCATACTCTGGGGTCCACAAGCCTTGGTTCTTGCCAACCTATGCCTAATACTTTCCAGGATAATATAAGCAGTGCCGTTGTAATGTTCCGCTAGGACCACTCTACCAACTAGAGTTTGGGCTTACGTGGTTAACAAGAGCCGAATGTAAATAAACCCTGCCAAGACTAGTCTACCCCTCCGAGTCCTGCTGACCAGCCAGACTGGATGGTCTTGTGTTAAAATTACCTTTTGCATTATTGAAGCGGCACTGTTTAGGGAAAATAGCAACAATCACATGGTACTTTCTTCACAAGGTCATACAAACAACATAGTGGTATTTTTAATGATTATAATGTAATATCAATGATAATACTTTATTTACCACAAGGAAAAATACAGTATTCCTAAATTCTCAAAGATTTTAAAATCTTACGAAGCATGCTCTGACAAGCAATAGCAGTTAAAGATTACCACTAGATTTAAAGTTCAATGCTGTCTAAAATACGTTGCAGATTTTATTTGGAGGAATATCTGGGATAGACATGTTTAGAGACTTGTTAGGTATATTTTTATGGTGAGGATTAAGGAAGGAGAAGCAACAAGTCAAAATTTATGAAAACAGAAGTGCCAAAGTTCGTGTGGATGAATACCATGGAAACAAAGCTTGGGTCATTCAGTCCATTTTCCTTTTGTGCCCCCACCACTCTTCATTGTCCCAACCTGAGCCCTTCCACCCAACCACCATCCCCACCAACGTCTCACATGCTGCCACCAGCCCCCAACAACAAATTGACGTCCCAGGTCAATGTGGACCTATGCTGGGGGTTGGGATCGGGAAGGGGGCGGGGAGGGAGCTTGGGGTAGAAGGGTAACCTAACCGAAGGCACGAAGGAGGGTCGTGAGACGTGCCAACACCCCCACCCTGTCACCAAACCCCCAACCCTCCACTCGACGCCAGCCCCCAACAATCCTGACCCCCTCCCCAACACCGCCCAAAGCCCCCCCTCCGTGTCTCTGCTGTCCTCTGACCTGTTGTGTGCTGAGGTCGAAGCCGAGGTAACATTTGTCCTCGGCCGCCATGATGTGAAGTGCGGTACTAACGCCTGAGGCACCGCCAGCGACAACCAACCAACCGCCACCCGCGCGCGAGAGAAGGAGCGCGAGACGCAGGAGCCGCGCGAGAGCCACACACTGCGCAGCTGCAGCTTTTCCCCTCCCCCACCAGGGGGTGGCCACCAACTGAAGTACCCTTTATAGCCCAAAGTCCGCAAAATACGAGCCCAATATTACGCGTTACTACGGGCGGCACTTTAGTTTTTTGTTTTTGAAAATGTGTAAGAAAAGGTCTACAAAAGGGAGAAGAAAAAAAAAGTTTTGCTGGTTAAAATTCAAATGTTTTGCGGGAATAAAAGGCACCCGCCCAAAGCCACTTTGAAACGCACAGTGCCACATAAAACACGCCCAATTAGACGTGAACCCATCCAATCTGACTGCTGTCACACCCACGGGTTGGGCTGCCTGACGCCCAGTTGGGCGGGTTTTGATGTGCTGCGCATGAAAAAACGGCTTTGGGCGGGCGATTAATTTTTAAAAATTATTTAAATCTGCAAAACGTTGTCCCCCTCAGCCCTCTTTTGAAGACCCTTTCTTATAGTTTCCACAAAGGCACAAACCCAAATTGGTCACTGTGCTACCCCTGTATTGGAGGCGACCTATAGTATTGGACTCTTGGAGCTAATGTTTGTCAAGATGGTGGAACGCAAACTGGAAGGACTTTAGTCTTCTTTCGTCTAACAATTCTTAAGTTCTTTGCAGAGTACGTGGAGGGTGGCGTTGCAAAACAGTCTCCTGAGCAATGCACGAACCAAGCAAGCAGAGGGTGGCGCAGCACTTAAGTTCAATTCAATGTAGGTGGAGCTGCACTCCACACCAGTTGAGTTGCAAGCATGGGATTTGCTGACCGCAGGTGAGCTCTGCATTTTTTGGGGGGGAGGTCAGCCACGGGTCTGACATGTGGAAACCCATCACCATTACTCTTAATGGAAACCCATTAGGAGTATCCAAAACAAACTGAGATTTCCATATACCATATGGAAATTATAGAGATAGATTGTTGGAATGGAATGTGCGTTTTCTCTCTGGAGGATTTGCATTTGGGAGCTGGCGGGTAAGGTATCCACACTTGAGCTCCAGTGGAACTTCCAATCGGTGGAACCATCACTCTGGGTAGGGATGTGTGTCTGAGCTGTGGGCAGGTGGCAGTGTTCTCTACACACTCGAGACGCTACCCTGCATGAGGGGCACTATATAAATTCAAGTTATTGTTCTCATGAGTTTTGTGTTGAGCTGTGCTGCTCACCAGGAAGCTCACAGAGAGTTCCTGGTACTTGCAATCTCCTCAGTTGAGGGGGCTCCAACCTGGCTTGTTGGTGTCAAAACACCAACTGGTGGGTTGAGCCCAGAGGGGTATAATAATAATAAGTATAATAATCCTTACATTTGGTATCGCACCTTTCAAGTTGGAAGAACGTCAAAAAGTGCTTTACAGGATATACTGTGAAGTGCAGTGACTGTTTTGTAGGTGAATGCAGCAGCCAGTCGTGCACAGCAATATCTCTGAAGTGCTTTGAGATATTTTGACAATAGGCACTTATCAAATTCAAGTATTATTGTTATCCTGAGCTAGGTTGTGCGGTTGGACCAAGTGGGTTTCATTTATATTTAAATGAGCAACTATTGCTTTATTATAAATTCAAAAGTGAAGGGGTCGCAGCTGTTGCATACATCTCAGCTTTTTTTTTGAAGAGATGAAAATATGAAAAAGTTATGTTGAGATAGCTGCTTGTTTACTGTGAGATGTTACCTTTTCGGTGAGAACGTGGAGTACAGGTGTAACTCATACTTGGTAAAAGAGTAACATTTTCAGACGGGAATAGACTATCTAACCAACCCCATCCAGGATCCCACAAGATTGTTTCAGTGTATATATGTCTGAATTCCCACCAAATCCTAAATTTATTTTTAATTGCCAGAACATTGTCTTGTTTTCATTTCAAAACCATCTATAGTTTCTGATTCTATGACATTCTAATCACATTTCTGTGCCCCTTCGCTCAGCTAACACAGGCATGCTGTTATGTTATGACCTGGGCCAATAGAAAAGTGTAGCTGCACGTTTTGCCACGGAATCTGCTATAAACCCACAAAATATACAGTCAATTCACTTTACAGTATATTCTGTGTCGAGATATATGTTAAGATTATATTATTATTCACTATATAAACAAGCCATCCTCTACAAATCCGCTATAATCCTGACCCAACTGTACAGCGCCTTGGGACGTCCTCCTGACGTGAAAGGCGCTCTATAAAAGGAATCTTGTTGTTGTTGTTGTATAAACAAAGTTTCTGGCCCGCAGCCTCTTGCCAAAACCAAAAACAATAATAAAAATTGGTCATTTTCAATCTACGACTGTTTGTGGGACATTGCTGTGCGCAATTGGCTGCCGCATTCACTCACAAATATACAGTCAATTCACTTCAGTGTGATTCAGTGTGTTCTGTGAAGCACTTTGGGACGTCCTCCCGACGTGAAAAGCGCTATATCAAATGCAAGGATTATTATTATTGCTGGTTACTTGACGTCACTGTGAGCGGAGCGGCTCTGGGCACGCATGCGCGGTGCAGTGCAAATGGCTTTCACTTTTTAGCTCCACTGTTGTGATTGTCTGTTTGTGAGTATGTGTGTCTCTGTGTATGTCATGTGTGTGTCTGTGTGAGTATGTCTCTCTCCATGTGTTTGTGGGTGTGAGTGTCTCTGCTCTATGTGTGTGTGGGCGTTTGTGAGTGAATATGAGTGTGTCTCTCCTTGTGTGAGTGTGTCTGTGTGAATCTCCTCTGTATGTATGTTTGTGAATGTGTCTGCATGTGTTTCTTCTATATGTGTGTCTCTTTCTGAGTGTCTCTGTGGGAATGTCTATGGAGAATATCTGTGTGTGTGCATATATCTCTATCTGAGTGTACCTCTCTCTCTGAGAATGTTGTCTCTGTGACTGCTCTGTGTGGCAGGAGGTAGTGAGCTCCTGTAGCATCTCCCCCCATCCCCACAAACTAAAAGACCCACACAGCTTATGTTAAAGAAGTAATTAATATTTGTTTTGCATCAATATAATATGTATTATTCCCTGTTTACTTTGTATCAATAAAGTGAAAAAATGTAGGTTGGCAGTAAAATGTACCTCAATAGTACCAATCAACTCCCTGCAATTTTCTGAAAAATTTGTCAAAATTTCCCCAGCAATTTTCCAAGGAAATGCCAAATCTCCCCCCAATTTGTGGCAAATATGTCCGAATTTTTATATTAGCCCAGCCCATGACCCCACCCCACCCCCCACCCTCCATGAGTGTGCCTTAAGGTAGTATCCCAAAACTCTGGGACTCCATCCCTCCAACTCGTCCCTTCTTTATCTTTAAATCCCACTTGAAGAGCTACACCTTGAACCGTGCTTATGGTCATCTCCCCCCTTGCTATTCATCGAACCCTGCACCTGTGCAACGTTCTGAGACGCTATCCTGCATGAAGGGCGCTATATAAATACACGTTGTAGTACAGTACACTATGATAATAATCCTTACATTTGATGTAGCGCCTTATCATTGTTGTTGAGAAGTCTCAAAGCACTTCACACAATATACCATAAAGTGAATTCACTGTATATTTTGTGGGCAAAACATGGCAGCCAATTGCGCACAAACGGTTGTGGATTGAGTGACCAAATTATTATTTTATTTATTTTTTGAAGGGATTATTACCTCTGGAAAAGCGATCTACCAATCAACTAACAACCGTGTTCTTAATTACTGCTAGGCAAACAGCTGTGTGTAGTTTCGACCTGCCTGGTAAAACACAATGTGAATACAAATTTTGTGATTTTTTTTATTGTAGCTGGAGATCCAGGAAGGTTTGTGGGGTGGGGGATGGTGGTCATGCAAATCACCAGTGTGATAGAATCTCTTCATGAGTCAGATGGTGGTGGATTCAACCCCCGCATCGGGACTTAGAACATACAGTCTTTTCTTTCTTTCAAGAACAAATTAGATAGATTTCTTTTAGGAAATAATATCTCAGGATACAGTATATAGTTTGGGACATAACATGTGCATGCAACTGCCAAGATGGTAGAAAGCGAACTGGATGGATCTTGATCTTCTTTCGTCTAGCAAATTCTTATCTTCAATCTAAGATGACACATCAATACAGTGCTGGAGTTGTGTGGCATTGTCGGTTAAGCATTGCAATCCCAATGCTCTTTCGGAATCCCAGGATTTCAGGATATTAATGCCCCCAAATCCCAGGATCCTGAATCTTACCTCATCTAGGATGACTGTGGTCATTCTCCACGCAACAACAACAAAATTATATTTATAGAGCGCCATTCACGTCGGGAGGCATCCCTTGGTCTCACACCAGTGGGCTCCTCTGCAGGGAGGGCGCCCACTAAGTTTGAACAGCGGAATGGAAAAGCCTGCACTCCCTTTCCGCCTAGGCTCAGCCTTTATACAATCACAAAATCCCAGGTTTCTCTGCAATGAATCCCCGGAACTCGGGACCACCATAACCAAGATCAGGATTTCTGGGATTGCATCCCCTAATTGTCGGAGGTACCATCCTTCGGATGAGGCCTTTTCTGCCTGTTGAGGTGGACGTTAAAGATCCCAGGGCACTATCGCAAAAGAGAAGAGAGTTTCTCCCAGTGTCATCTGAATAAAATTAGTCACTCACTTAATGGCTGTTTGTGGGACATTGCTGTGTGCAAATTGAGTGCTTAGTTCGCCCACAATCACTGCACTTTACAATGTGAACCACCTTGAGACATCCTCCCAACGTGAAAGAAGCTGTATCAAAAGTAAGGATTATTATTGAATCGGTCTTGTACCTCTCTTAGATCCTCAGGAACCAGCATTTGACTGTCACCTGTAGGCGTAACCCATTATCTCAATCAGGGGTTTGGATTTTCAGGAACTGTATTGCCATCAGAGGGAGCTGCAAGCAAAGGAACAACAGCTTCCTGATGGTGTTGCTGTGTTGAGTTGCTGTGTTGAGTACCCTTCAGGATTTCCCCACTGAAAGGCTCCGCAACCAGAGGAACAGCAGCTTCCTGCAGTTATTATTCGTCAAAACCAACTTGCATTGTAATAGAGGTTCAGATGCAACTACAAATTACATGTGTATA